GTCGGGGCTGAGGCCTCACTGGAGCGGGAGGGCCCCGTGGCCGGGGAGGCTGAGGGGCAGAGGCTTCGCGGTGGCAAAGCAGGAGTTTCTCGGTAAAAAGGAGAGATCGGAGGGTCCGCAGGGGAGGGAGAAGGGACAGAGGCAGAAGGCTGAAAGCAGGTAAGAACCAAAATAGGAGAAGATTTTAGGCAGAAGGGGAATCTGAGGGGCCTCCTGTGGGCTCCCGGGAGAAAGGGCGAGGGGAGGCGTGGACACCAACCCGAGGCCGTAGTGATGGGGGTGGAGACTGGCGTGGACGTGGGCACACTGGGGAGACTTCCTCGGGGGTGTGAGGACAGGGGCGGGGGGGCACTTCAGGATCGCAGCCTCCAAAGCCAAGGGCAGAGTTTCAGAAGCTGTCTCGCTGTCGCTACGCACGATAGAACCTCAGCGGAGCCTTGCAGTTGGAAACGGCCGAGTGGCTTCTGCGCTCAGACTGTCCCCGGGTTCGGCACGTCCGGAGGCACAGCCCGGGCCTGCAGCGGCCGTCAGAGGGGAGTGCCCGTCCAGGACTCCCTCCTCAGTCACGGTTCAAGGTCAGCACCAGGTCGGAGAGCAGCTTGGTGCCTGCTTTTGTGTTCACTGGCCAGTGTCAGGGCAGTGGGCAGCCTCTTCCAGCAGGGGTTCCAAGCACCCACGGTGCTTCGGCCACCCCCAGTGTCACTCCTCAGCCGAATGCTAGCACGAGACCAGTCGTTCAAGAATATACATGTAAAATATACATACGACAAAACCAGACACTGAAAGCTGTCACTGAGGTTCATGCAGCCCAACTCAGGGAAAGCCCTTCACCGTTGTCACCTGCCTTAGGCCTGGTTAGAGCCAAGGTTAGAGAGAACATCTCCAGGCTCCCAGACCTGGCATCAGGACCACGCAACACTCGGAACCCGTGGCTTGTCAGTAAGTAGCAAGAGTGACCAGGGAGGAAAAACCTCTCCAGGCTCATGGGTGTGGCCCCGCGTCAAGGGTGCTCATCGCTGAGGACACGTGCTCATAGGGGCCCTTCCCACCGTCCCTTCCCGTCACCTGTCACTCTTGTGAGCAGGCTGGCTCTCTCCACTTGCTCCCCGAAGCTGCAGACACAGTCTCACTTGTCACCCTCTCGTGGCCACAAGGGAAGGAAAGCAGGGTCGCTGGTGATCGAGAAGTGAGGCGTGCGAGGGAGGTAAATAAATCCAGGGCTGAAATCCATGTATGGACTGCGGGGACCCGAGGGAGAGGGAAGCCAAGGTTGTCACTTGCAGCGGAGGCTGCAAAAGTCAAGTTGGAAGCCGGGGTCTGCTGGAAGCAACCCCGTCCTCTTCCCAGGACACCAGCACGAATGGCCACGGAAACAACAGGAATGAAGTGGCCACTCTGAAAGCTAAAACGATGAGGATTAGGCAGATAAGAAAGAAATTTTCATACCGAAATGTGAATACTGCGGATCTGGAGATGTTCAGCAATCTAAGGTTTGGGAAAGAGACAGTTTTTATAGTTGACAGATGATGAGTAAAGAAAACACTTGGACTGAAGCAAATAAAAAGCTGTTGGGCCCTCTCATTCACACCTAGTGCCCTGGGGAAATGAGGAGCCAAGCCTTCAGAACTGAACACCGTCCATGGAAGATGACACGTTTTAGTGAGCATCAGAGTCAGATGCGGGGCTTGCTAGCCCCGGGCTCTCCCCTTGAAATTCTGAGTCAGCGGGCATGGGCAGGACCTGTCTGCAGGGCACGGACATCCCCACGTGGATGGTGGGGCAGGTGGGCCACTGCTCATGCTCAGTGACAGGCTGGCTGTCCTGGGGCTTCTCACACTTCCGTGAGAACACGCCACCGGAGGACTTGATTGAAGATTCCTGGTTCCATTCCTTGCAGATTTGAATTTACCAACAAGAGTATCAGGTAATACTCAACAGGGAAGTTTGGAAAACAGTTGTTTATAGAACACCCTAGGGCACTTAAAAATGGACCAATTTGGGGCCCTACCCCGAAATTATAATTCATTTAGTCAGTGAGTTGGATCAGATCCCCTGACTAAAGTTACCAGGAATGATTGATCCAAACATCAGTAGCTATATATTTGATCAACAGCTCTGGTTATAAAAGTTTTGTCAAAACTACAAATTAGGAGGCCTAAGGAAAGCTGAATGAAAGTGTCCTACTTTTATTTTATTTTGCTTTTTGGTTAATTCTCACCTGAGGATATTTTTCCATTGTTTTTGTTTTTTTTTTCTTGAGAGAGTGGAAGAGAGGGAGGGTGGGAGAGAGAGAGAAACATCTATGTGATAGAGACTCATCGACTGTCTTTCACACCCCAACTGGGGCTGGGCTCAAACCTGCAACCCAGATACATACCCTTGACCAGGAATCAAACCTGCAACCCTTTGGTCCACAGGCCAACACTCAAACCACTGAGCCAAACCAGCTAGGGCAAGTGTCCTATTTTTACAAAGCACACTGGGGTCCTGCTGGTGTGGCTCAGTGGCTGAGTGTCAACCCATGCACCAAGAGGTCACTGGTCCGATTCCTGGTCAGGGCACACGCCCGGGTTGTGGGCCTGATCCCCAGTGGGAGGTATGTGGGAGGCGGCCAATTGATGTTCTCTCTCATGGGTGTTTCTATCTCTTTCTCCCTCTCCGTTCCTCTCTCTCTAAAAAAAACCAATAAAGAAAAAATATTAAAAATCACACTGGGTACTCTTTTTCACATGTTTTTTTTTGTATCCTCACCTGAGGACATTTTTGCATTTATCTTCAGATAGAGGGGGGAGAGAGGGAGGATAGGAAGAGAGAGACACATCGACTGGTTGCCACCCACACAACCCCAACCGAGGCCGGGGACAAACTGCAAATGAGGTACGTGTCCTTAGTGGGAACCAAACTTGGGTCTCCGCAGGCCGACGCTCTAACCGCTGAGCCAAACCGGCCAGGGCACAGCAGCATAGAATGTGTTCAATTCCTAGTTAACAGAAACACAATTACCACGGTTTCCATGCTCACTGGCTACAACAGGCCTGTGACTTGGAACTGAGCAGTATTTCCATCTGAGCACCAAATGTGGCAGATGTTTTCTCCATCCCCACATCCTCTTGGGTAAATTTCTTCAGATGTCTACGCACTGCATTCTGGTGCCCCAGGAAGACGGAACAGGGCTCTTCTGGAACGAGCTCTGAAGAGAAAGCTCGTCCATGCATAGCTGAATCTCCGGGAGAGGCACTTCCGACCTGAGTTCACGTTCCGGATCACAACACACTGTACAGGCAGCACTACAGGCGGCCGCGCTACACTGTGCTGAGCTCAGCCTCCCGGTTCCTCGGGCACCTAGCTAGGACTGCAAGAGACGTAGGTAGCTCCAAGTTGGCAAGGAAAATGGAATGGTTTCCAGTTCTAGGCAAGGCACGGCATGAACTTTAGTACTGAACAGACTGAATGAAGACTGAGCCCTAACGGAATCAGAATGTTTGCCTCTAAATGCCGTGCGCTCAATACAGAGGAAGCACCTCCCCACGGACAGGGGAGGAGCGAGCCTGCCTCGGTGACAAGGGCGTTGGGGAGAACCATGATCAGAAGCTTTGCCCTCAGATCTCAGGCTGATAAACGGGTTTATCAAATACAGGGGTCAGCTAGGAACTGTTAGAACAGTACACGGCACCATCTCGTCAGTAAGTGCCGGAGCATCCTAATTCCCTCCTGCACTGCACCCAACAAACATCCTTAGATTTCAGAGAAAGAGGTAAGTGCGACTTCACGGAGAACGTTAGTAATACTTGAGAAGACGTGTTCAGAAGTGCTTCTGAATACGAAACAGATGATGGAAACGTAAAACCCAGTGAATTCACTGCTCTCCCCTTGCATCGGTTTTGCAGCGTGGTATCACACAGTGGCCATCACGTTAGGCGTCGGGATGGGTTTCCTGTACATGGACAAGACTGCACACACTCATTCACTGAGGCTTGTAAAAGGTTTTATCAGTTTCAAGAGGAGAGGCAGTACACAGCTTTTGAATACAGGTGAGGCACAGGAAGAACGCGGTAGACAAGACAGTATCCACTCAGCAGAGGTAAACTCTTCAGGCGTGGGGCCCCTGCCACACTGCCTGCCATTAACCAAGTGGAGAGGACTTCCTCTCTCGTGAACTTGACCTCTGCTGAGCAGCTCCACAGCTCAAACACACCAACCTTGACTCTGAAGTAAATACCTTCCTTTGTCCAAGGGGTCTCGAGAGTAATGCAACATTCCCGGTCATCCTAATTCTTGGGTAACCTACATTCTAAAATACGCTAAGTAATTATCTGGCAAAGTTCTCAAGCATTTTGGCATCCACAAAACCTCAAATATCACTAGTGATCTACTTACTCAAAATTCTTCGAACTTCAACACTGTTTCTGATTTCCCCCTAAATTATGGCAACTGCATACAGAATAAATCCACTAGATGTAAAAGAACTAAAAAAGAGGGCAATACAGACTTCTCCTTAAAGAAGGGAGCAGAATGGAGGCCGGAAGGGAAGGTCTGGACACACAAATGGAGGAAGCTAACCACATCTGTCACGTCTTTGCTGTCCACTCATGATTCTGAGTGTGGGCCCAGTTTCCCTTTGCACACCCACTCACGCCAGAGAATGTTCTTAAACCCTCCCTCATTTAAAATACCCAGCTGGCCCCTACTTGGGCCAAACTGGAATCCCCAGGGCAGCAACAGGAGCTGGCGCCGCACACACTCGCTGGCTTCTTCGGGCAAGCGCTGGGCTCGGCGGTTTGGGCCGACTTTTGTCCCAGAATGTGCTCAGCAACATGAGTATCAAAAGTCCTCGTTAGACAAAGGCTTCAGGGAACAGGGAAAACGCCACGTGTCACATCTATTGTCCATCCCTCCCAGCGCCTTATTCTTACTTCAGTGATTTTACAGCTGTATAAAAAAGGCTTTCAGAAGCAGGGGTTTTTTTTGTTTTGTTTTTTTTAAAGAAAGCGACAGTTGTGACGAGATTTGACCTAGAGCAAGGAAAAATCCTTCAATGAAATCAAACTAGGGACAGGGAATAGAGAAGTCCCTGCTCCTGAAGGTTTCCGGAAGGGCCCTTCGCTGCCCCTTCGACAGCTGGGCGGTGCATCTCTGCCAGCACCTGGTCAAGGCCCAGGCACCCACCTGCATCTCGGAGGTGCAACCCCGACGCCAAATCTCTGGGGTTCTCCTCTCACCAGGGGTGCAAGCCCTGCAGAGCCCCATCTCCTGCCTCAGTGTAGCCCTACACCCCAAACAACACCTTCTGCTCCACAGAAAAGAGCCCTGTACAGTGTCCACATCTTCATATTTATTTCCATGGTGATAATATAGAAGAAATTTAGCAATCACTATGGAGGGAAAACATCTCATTGACTTCTGAGTTAAATCCCTTAACAATGACGTTCAACTATACCAAGTCTTCTGTTGACTTAACATTTATTGAATCAAATGCTGAAGAAAATGGACTGCCTCTAGGTCTTAGAAATCATGTTGGATAGTTTGTCTCATCAAGTATTTAAGATGGGATTGGACTTCTCATCCCTGGGCAAGTTTGACAGTTACCGCCCGCGAAGCACATGACTGTACATAGGCTTCTTGACCTAACATTCAAAAGGACATTTTGTAGTACTCGTTTAATTCTGATCTCTCTCTAAAAGACAGAAACCGCATCCTACACTCCTGTGCAACTTGTTTGGTTATTTTAAAATAAATGAATGAGAGAAGGTGGGGGCACAAAGAGCACCCAGCTTCCTTAGGCGCAATGACACAGCTGTCTTACAGAGAGGGAGGAGACCACCTGTGTCTCTGTGCGAGGCGCCCGGAAGCACTGTCAGCACAGGGACTCAAGCGTGGGCCCGAGTCTGTAGGAAACGTACCAAGTGAAAACAGTCCACTGGTGGTGACCAGGTACAAGACTGTGCTTGAAGCTGTGGTGTGCCTCCGTGGCCAATTTCTCAGACACCGAAACCCATTCCTGATTAATTATCAATATACAATCAAAACAAAATATTGAAACATGGACGTTTCTTCAGAAGAGGGAAATAAAGGCACAGAAACCTGCCAAAATAGATTTTTCCCATAAGAATAGTATGGTTGATTAAAATACTTTATCACTAATAAAACTTGTATCACTAGAGCAGACAATACAAATTAGTTTTTAAAAAAAATGACATTCACTGAATTCCTGGTCTGTACATTCAATGTGAATAATCATCAAAAATATTTTACAATGAAAGGGTTGTAAGTTCTGTTTGGGGCTCCTACACTATACTCGGTATTTCAGATGAGAAGTACCACACACAGTACCAGACAGCCACTGTTCCTGCAGGCTCACAGATGTCCACGGTGAGAACTGTCCAGGTGACTCACTCACGATTTTTATACCTCTCATCAAAGGCAGCCTTGGGCATCTATCTAACTCCACACCTAGAAAGTTCAATAAACTAACTGTATTATACCTTAATAAATTTTTCTGTGTATTTTTATGTTCTCTGATTTTAAGCTCAGCTTAAATTTTGTCAAGGAAACCATTTTATAAGAGGGTACATCACAATCTACTATCAGCAATACTCCTTGTTTATTAGAATAGGAAGATGTCCATATTACATCAAATATAAATATATATTATATTTACATTTCCTTCTTGGCTTTTCAATTAGGTGAATGTATTTATAGATAATGCCACCAATGTCACCACCACTGTGACCCTCAGTGCGACCTGTCCTTCCCTCCCACTGGATTGCCTACAGGGTTAGACAGCATCTTTCTTCTTTGTTACATAAAAGGAAAGAATGGGTACCCATGAATGGAGATCTAGACATTTTCTAGGAGGTTTTGCTTTGTTTTTTAGTATTTCAAATACCTGAAAAACATGGTCCCTTTTTGCAGTACTATTCTCTACCTGGGGACAAAAGAGTAAAATATGCAACTCAGAAAGGAAGAGCCCGAAGAAAAGAGAACCTGATTGTTAGCTCATTAATCTGTTTAGTAAAGATCTGTTTTAAAATGTCTGAATACTATACAATATTATACAAAACAAGCTTTAGCCTTCAAGGCAGCTGGTACATTTCTCAAAGATCAGTCTGCCGCTGGACAGTCAGCTGCCTTGGTGGGCCTGAGGCCTGGTCACTTTCGGTCGTCGATGGTTTTGATGAACTCCACAGCTGCCGTGAACTGCATCCACCAGTAGGACTCCTCCCCAGACAGACAGTTGCCATAGAAGCTGCTGATATACTGGACAGTGGACAGCAAACAGGGGGGGTTTGCCTAGAGAAATGAGAAATAACAAGTCAGTCAGTCAGATGGATAGCTCTGCAAAAATCACTCCGGTTAACATCCTCAGATGTTTTTCTCTGAAAGAGATACCAGTCCTTCTGAAAATAATCTCCCGATTCCCTTTTTTGAACTATTTTGTAAGCCCTAGCTATGTGAACAGCAACAGTATACTGGAGAGGCAGCTGGGTTCTGATCCTGGCTGAACTGTCCTGAGCTTCCTATGCCTGCAAGTCACTGAACCCCACTGGTCCCTAAGGAGGCTGAACCCACCCCCCTGGACTTACTCAGCCTCCCAGGACTCCAGAATGTGAGATAAGGAAATAAATGCTGTAGGCAAACTGAGTGATAACTGGGTAGTAAGTTCGGGTAGAATCAGCTGAGAAAGAAAACACTATAAAAAATAGGCCCTCTGTTGCAAGAGGTAACACAGACCATCTGCTTTTTCACCTTCTTCACGTGGCAAGAAGGACACGGGTGTGGTAGTGGTCAGGAAGACGAGCCCCAGCCTGTTCCTCAGAACAAGCCCACAGGACACCTCCCAGTGCAGGGGAGAGCGGCGGCGCTGGGAGGGGCCGTGAAGGCTGCGCACACTGACCCTGTGCGTTTCTGCCTCGCAGTTCAGGCTGCAGAAATACTGCAAACGTGAACAACTACTAAGATATGTGTCAAACATCAGACATCAACAGATGGGCTAAGCTGACAGCAGCACATGACTGACGCACCCAAACCACATGGTCCCCCCCAAAAATGTTCAAAAGAAACTGTTCAGAAGATAAAATCTCAACTTTAAAGACAAAAAAGGACAAAGTATGTCAGTACTTCTAAAAATAATATGGTACAATTACAGCCTGGTGGTGTGGCTCAGTGGACTGAGCATCGTCCCATGGACTGAGAGGTCCCAGTTCGATTCCCAGTCAGGGCACATGCCCAGGTTGCAGACTCCATCCCCAGTAGGGGGTGTGCAGGAGGCAGCCAATCGATGTTTCTCTCTCTAAAACATCAATAAAAACATATTTAAAACTAAATAAAAATAATGGTACAATTACAAAACAAGAGACTAAAGGAGGAGAGTGATGATGGGCAAACGTAGGAGTTTATGTGATAAGCACCATGCAGACTGCAACGTGAAAGGAGATGGTAAGAGCAGTTCTTCCTTCACTCAACAATCATGCACTGACCCCATCCATGGACTCCAGGCACTGCTTTAAAATGTTCGTCTACGAATCTGGTCCTCCCATCCTTTCTTTTGAAAACCCTGATTTCTGGACAGAATGACATTTGACGCTGGACACTTTCTTTCTGGATAACGTAGAGCTGGAGGCTTGGAAAGAGCCATGATGTCTAACATCCTGTGATGACACCTGCTCACAATGCCACATGAATGAATCTTTTCACTGACATTGGGGAGGGGCCCACCTTTATCAACACAAACACCAAAACAGGGACAAAGTCATCTGCCCCTGGGACGGAGTCCTCGTTGGCCAGGCTCAGGAGGTTCATGATGGTGGAGCACATTCTCAGGATGCACCGCACTTTGTCCCGGGGGGTCTTGTAAGCACTTATAGTCCTGATTTCTGACTGTGCGGATGGCCACGGTGCCTCCCGAAGATAAACCTGAGAGACCAGACAGGCAGACAGATCTTGAATTGAATGACAAACATGGACAGCGGCCACACGTCCTCTGTCAGGGGCAGGAGGGGACGGTTGTTGCCTTTCCCTTCTCTTTGGTAAAACCAGACTGCACTTCCTTCACCTTCTACTAAAGATTGAAGCTTAACTTTTAAACTTTTAAACAATTTGCTCTGCACTTTACAATAAAGCAACCTAGATAGCCACTAATAGAAACAGTATATAACAACACAGAACCTAGAATTCATAAAATTTCAATCTTTCTTAAATAGCTAGGATGAACTTCTCTACATGTAGTAGCTGGTTCCAAATGCATAAACAAGCTACATTAAAAAGGAAATAATTTATAAAGTAATATGTGCCTGTGCTGTAGTTCTAGAAATAACAGATTCAAAAAAATCAAATATAATTAACATTTTTATGCTCGTTAATGTTCCATTAGTGGGGATTTTGATAAAATGACCAGAAAGCTCAAATACCTGACATTTTCCTACTTTCTTATTTTGTAAGATCTGTATGCAGGTAAAAGCTCTATTATCAATAACTAAAAGGTCACTTGGCACCACAGTCAGGGGCAATTGCTCCCCTGGAACAGGTTTCTGCGGCCCAGAGGCCCCGCCTGCGCCAAGTTGGAGCAGGAGCTGCGTCCGCCCGGCTGGCCGGCCCTCTCCGCCACCGAGGTCCCTTTCCACGCCAGGAATTTTAATCCTCGGAAGGATCTTTGAGAACTTCACTTGGACTGAAGTACTCTAATGCAAACGGTGTTACATATTTTATTACATTCTGTTTCCTTGGAAAACTGGGACCATGCACATGGCACACGGAGCAGCTCTCAGTGCCCACCGCCACCCACGCTGTCAGCCGGCATCTCACCTCTGGTATCTGAAGGGCTCTGTGGTTCGCAGTCACTACTTTAGACAACCTCTGAATATGTTCATGAAGAACCCTGAAAACCCCCCAAAACAAATATGTAAATATATATTCCAACAAATTAGGTACACAAAGTGCCATAATTGATGTTGGAAAACTTTTAAAACATTTTAGACTTATTTCTAGATACAGATTACAGTTACAGTTGAGACTCTCAGGCATTCTAGAATCTGCTCAGAAATGCAGAGTGAGCGAGGGGATGCAGCCAGAGTCAGACCAGGATGGCATTCCAGGGGCAGCAGAGAGGAACCTGCAGCCCACAAACCACCTGGACACACTAATTAGTGAACAAGCTGACAGGAGGTAGAGGATCAAAAGCCAGAAGCCAAAGACGCTTAGATGGAGAAGGGACTCAACACATAACGTCTCATTTCACAGGGGAGAATAATTCGGCTTAAACAGGTGAACAGGTAAAGGTTAGACTAAGGCCACATGGGCTAAACACCCAGCTTTCCTGTTCGTGTTCTGAAGGCTGTTAGCTCTCCTCTCTAACATCTGCAGAAATGCCAGGGAGGAGAAGGCAGGAATCACCTGCTTCAAAGTGCTCTTTGCAGTCAACACAGTTTGAATGTCCCCACTCCTTACCCCACGCTGGAAGCCAAAAGCTGGTGTTCTGGAGAGAAAACAGGTCCCACTCGGCATATTAAGGAGAGAGGCTTGGGGTGGGCCAGCAGCCCCTCAGACTGAACAAGTAAGAGGCAAGCTGGAACATCCCTAACCCATTCAGAGGAAAGTGAACTTTCTCAAATATACATACAGTATCTTTTTTTTTAAAATCCTCACCCGAGGACACTTTTCCATATTTTGTTCAGATAGAGTGGGAAGGAGAGAGAGAGAGAGAGAAACATCTACGTGAAAAGGACACATCTAGTGATTGCCACCCGCACGACCCAACCAGGGCCGGGGACAAACTGCAACCAAGGTACATGCCCTTAGAGGGAACCAAACCTAGGTCTCTCTGGACCGCAGGCCAACGCTCTAACCGCTGAGCCAAACTGGCCAGGGCTACATGCAGTATCTTAAAATGTCCATGGAAAAAATCTTCCAAAAACCACTCATGACCCAGCCTGAGATCCTATTACATGGACCCCTTGAGAGTCCCTGGCACAGTAAGTCACTGTTACAGCTGGGAGCACAGTGGTCACCGCAACGTGCCTGGGGCGGAAACGGGCTGGAAAGCAATGCTCAAGAAAATGCAGAAGAGGAGAAGAAAAATGCTAAGTCGTCCAGTCTCACTGCCCCAAAATAACCAGTTTCCATGGCAGGTATTTTTTTTTCAGGATTGATTTTTAGGATTAGTTTCTAAAAACATCTTTACTAAAATATAAGTTACATACCATATAATTCCAGATATTTTTTGATATTCAAACATGTAATTTTTCATTCCTAATGAATACCGAACGCACATTCGCAGTCAAGCCCTGTGCTCGAGGCTGACAGAGGTGAGGGAAGGCCTTCCAGTCCTGCCGTCGTGGAGGGACGGTGCAGGGGAGAGGAGTCACACAAACCAGTGAACAACAGCAGGGGCGGTTTTGCCCTCCAAGAGACATTGTCTGACAGTGTCTGGAGACCTCTGGGTTCTCCCTGGTGTGGTACTGCTGGCTTCCGTGTGTGGAGCACAGAGCAGCTGCTCAGCTCCTCCAATGCACAGACAGTGCCTGATCTGAGAACCACCCGGCCCCAGTGTCAGCAATGCCAGGCTGAGAATCATGACTAACAAATGTAAAACTGCAACTGAGAAAAGTACACGGGCCAGAGAGCCCTGCAAGGGGAGTCAACCTCGTCAGAAAGGCCAGGAAAGGTTTCCCTGAGGAGTGACGCCCGAGTCAAGAGCTGAAGGTAAGCATGAGTATGAAGAAGGAAGGGAAGAAGAGTTGAGGCAGAGTAAACAGCAGTGCCTTCCAAAAGGGCCAGACCAATTTCTATGCCCTTTGCCTGATTCCACACATCCCTGAAAACGGGAACAGCATTCTTTTTGATATTGTAACTCAGATGGGTAAAAAATGGTAACAACCTGCATTTCTTCCTAAGATTGCAGTCTTACATGTAGTTCCTCTAAAGTATGGGCTAGCTGATGCATCCCTACATGGTTCAACACAGGCACTACACACAGAAGCACTCACTGGTCACGGAGTATGTCCCCATCCTGATTAGGGTAGAAAGCAAGCTTGAAAATCCGATTCATCACGCTTCGCTCAATGGCCAGCTGAGCGTCCTGAAGCTGCTCCTCACTCGCATTTTGCCATATAACGTCCTGGGCCATCGCACCATAAAGGAATTGCAGGAAATCTTCTACCTGAGCAGTTTTATCATCAGCTGCTGTGAGTTTCTGAAAGTCTCCAATGCAAAATAATAATTTTAAAAATACACTACCTGGATAATTTTAAAAAGAAAGTTACAGAAATCATTTTAATCACTAGCTATGTAGATGCTATGCTCTTAAAGCGAAAAGTGTCTGGGCATGGTTTATTTTAGGAGAATATCCTGCCAAATCATTAAAATCAGGAGAAAGGTATGGCTCAGTGGATTAAGCATCATCCCATGGACTGAGAGGTCCCACCTCAATTCCTAGTCAGGGTACATGCCTGGGTTGTAGGCTCAATCCTCAGTAGAGGGCATGCAGGAGGCAGCTGATCGATGTTTCTCTCTCACATCAATGTTTCTATCTCTCTCTCCCTTCCCCTCTCTCTACAAAATCAATAAAAATATATTTTTGTTAAAAAAGAACAAGGGCTCTGGCTGGTTTGGCCCAGTGGTTAGAGTGTCGGCCTGAGGACCAATGAGCCACGGGTTCAATTCCGGTCAAGGGCTCGTGCCTCAGTTGCAGTTTGTCCCCGGCCCTGGTCGGGTTGTGCAGGAGAGACAACCAGTTGATGTGGCTCTATCACATCAATGTTTCTCTGTCTCTCTTTCTTCCCTCCCTCCCACTATTTGATGATAAATAAAAAGTATCCTCTGGTGAGGAATTTAAAAAAAAAAAGAAGAGCAAGGGGTGTATTATAAAAATTATATGCTTTGGCCCAGCTGGTGTGGCTCAGCTGGTTGAGCGTTGACCCATGCACCAAGGGGTCACTGGTTTGATTCCTGGTCAGGACACATGCCCGGGTTGTGGGCTCGATCGATCCCCAGTGGGGTTGTGCAGGAGGGAGCCAATTGATGTTTTTCTCTCATTGATTTTTCTATCTTTCTCCCTCTCCCTTCCTTCCTCTCTAAAATCAATAAAAGAGATTTCTTAAAAAATTATATACTTTGATTTAAAAAAATGAGAAAAACTGTGTGGATCCAGTACTTTACCGATTTTATCAATTTTAAAATAAACTATAGATATTCCGTCCAATAAAAATAAAATTTATTTATTAAGAATCCATAAAATGCCCTGGCTGGTTTGGCTCAGCGATTAGAGCGTTGGCCCGTGGACCAATGAATCACAGGTTCAATTCTGGTCAAGGGCACGTAGTGCAGTTGCGGTTCCATCCCTGGCCCTGGCTGGGGTCATGCGGGAGGCAACCAGTCGAGGTGTCTCTCTCACATCGATATTTCTCTCTCTCTCTTCCTTCCTCCCTCCCACTCTATCTGAAGATAAATGAAAAAGTATCCTCAGGTGAGGATAAAAAAAAAAGAATCCATAAAATAGCTGGGAATTTAAGGAACTGCTCTTAGACATATAGATATTTAAACAGACTAGCAAAACACAACTTCTAAGTCTTCCTAGTACGACATGGCTGAAGAGATGCTCAATCTACCGGTCTTCGGTTACCTTGAATGAACTCCCTGATCTTCTTTTCTTTGCTCTCAAGCAGCAACCTCACACAGACGGTGGTAAAGTACCGATTGGCCACCTCCTTGTCCCGCAGAACCCTCTGCAGCAGCCTTTCCAGGTGAGCCTGTGTGGTCTGCAGTCCTTGTCGACAGCGAGTAAGATAAGCAATATAGGGGGCCCTTTTCCTAAAAGGAAATATGCTTTGCAGGACACCAGATATATACAGTGCACATTTTCTTTAGAAACTAAGAGTCCTAATTTTTCTTTTTTTTAAAAAAAATCACTTCCTAGATTTTGGTTTTGCACATTAGCATGTGAGACCACAGACAACAATCTTAAAGACAAATTACGCTGCCAGATTAAGAAACAGAACCATTCTGCATGTCTGTGAAGAACACTATCTCCTGGGCTGACCATTCAGCCCCTAACTCACTGAGCATGACTGAGCCCCTCACGTCGCTGGCCTGTTTTATGTTGGAGCAGTCTCCATGCTGGCAGGACCTCGTACCTAACATGCAATTGAATGTTCCAGAAAACTAAAATAAGAACAAAATACAGCTTGCTATACTACTATATCATTAAACATACCATCAATTATTTGCAAACAGTCTAAATTAACAACCTCAGAGCACCTGTGCCCTAAGACTCAAAGCCTCTTCACTTCCTAAGCATCTCAACTATATTTTTCTCAACTGTTAGCAAGGGCCTGACCCTAACCCTAACCCTGACCCTGACCCTGACCATAACCCTAACCCTAACCTTTGGCCAGAGACAAAGGGCAGCAATTCCCAGGCCTACTCCTGCCTCCCTGGTCCAGGGAAGTAGTCTTCCCTATCACCCCTAAAAAAGAGTAAATGACACCCTAGTTATCCTGGCCTCACCTCTGCTAAAGCTCCTTTGTGCAATGCTGAAGTAAATGACACTTCTCAGTTTGTAAGACCTGTTTATCTGTAACTAAATTTCCAGACTAAATAGGAATCCCTCGGGAATCTACATGCGGATAAACAGAACCAGCACTTTGTAGTAAGCCTATATTCATTTCCGAAATCAGGACTGAGAAGAAACTACTTGTAGCTGAAACTGGCCTACCAGCGACAGGCTGTGTGTACCTGTAGTCCTCGGCGATGGAGGCCAGCAGTTTCCTGCAAGTCCTGTTGTCAAAGCGGCACACACAACGCATTGTTTCTTGCAGTTGAGCCATTAAGTTCTTATCTTGTAAATTAATTGCTTCGGCTATTTGAACTTTTAAGAAGCATACAATTTCATTCTCTAAACAAAAAAATAAGAATTCTGTTACTGTTGAGAAAATCCATGTGCTTAGTCAAGCTGGATGTCATCCCTCAGCCGCTGGGATGTCGATTCTGCTTCACCATGGATTAGCGGAACCAAGCTGAACTGCCACTCTCAGTCAGAGAACATTTAATGAACCAGCAGTAACCAAAGTGCCCTGAATAGATCCTAATACAAATGTATTAAGTTGAACCATATGGAATTGCTGTAAAGCTTAAATACAGTTGAATATGGGCAATTTTATACAGTTCAACCTTCAAATATAGGGGGGGAAATGGTCATACAGCAACTTACCTTCTGGGTCTGTGTGGTCTGGTAAACCGTTCCTTGTTGAATGGCTTAGCACAGGGAAAGCAACAGAATCCGCAGAGCACAGAGCAAGCCTCAGTTTCTTTTTTGCATCTCTGAAAAATGAGTTAAAGGTTAATTTCTATATCCAGAGGGTCACACTTTATGAACATTTACTATGTAAATTAGTATGCTACCTCAAGACTCAAATGTTTCAAGTGGTCATAAATTAAAGGTGATTTTAAACTTACTGACACATCACTTACAGGAACAGGTGTTCTAGTTACCCGAGGAGCAAGGATATAAAAGTGTCTGTAAAGTCACCAGAATCAGTAAGTAACAAGTGCTTTCTGACCTTCTAGATGTGCTGCGGTCTAGGGCAGACACTCTATGAGTCAGAAAGGCGTTTAGGAGTCCCCCACCCCAACTCAGAATGCCTTCCACTACAGTTCTCGGGACCGCAGGCCGATGCTCTAACCACTGAGCCAAACCGGCCAGGGCTCCACTACAGTTCTCAACAAGTGTTGATCCTGCCACTAGACAGCTCATGACCAGCAAGAAGCCCTTTCTTATGGTTCTATTGCTGGAAACCTTCGGTGCTGAGCTGAAACATGCCCCTTTCAACTTCTAACTACTGAAGCACCTACTACCATCCAGGGTAGAGCACCCTTCAGTAAGGTGTCACCCTTCACAACAATGCAGCTCTTCACACTGAGAGGTGCCACTGACATTCTTTCATCTGCTGGTGGCCATGGCCCTTTCTGGTCCCATAGGGCCTGGACCACAACGCCCTCAGAATGTTCTGCTGCCATCCAAGGAAAGGAGCTGAAAGACCTCAGCAAACAAGCCAAAGTTTGCTCCTCTTGCAGGATACTCACTGTCCACCTCACTTGACAGCTCTGAGTCTTTCCCTATTGGCTTGCTTCCCTATAAAACGAGTAATTTACAGATCACGTCTATCAAATGTGTTATCTACCTGCTTTGCCAAGACTCATCATGGCAAAAAATTAAAACTGTCTGCCACTCCAATTTTACCGTAGAAAATAAATTATAAAGCTCTGTAATATTTATAAATAAAATTATATACTATTGAGAGTTTTCTTTAAACTAACTGGGGGCAGGGGGAGGAAAATATGAAACAGTACTGGCCATGTATCAGTGACTGCTGAATCTGGGTGATGAAGAGGATGACAAACAGAGGGGCTCCAGCAGGTCTATGGGGACAGTGGGTTCGCCAACAGCTCTGCAGATGATCCCACCTCCTCCAACCCCAACGTCTCTCACATGGGCTGGGAGCTTTGCATGGGCAGAGGCACTGCCACTTGTTTCATTGTAATTATTTATGTGGCACCTGTGAGCACATGAGGTTTTCTTTTATCCCTGAATTCAAGCCTTTGATATATGACATCCACACGTGAAGCCAAGTCTTCTCAGGAAATAGCCATTTCATTCTTATCTCTCTGCTTTATACAGTTACTAAGTGACTCAATGAATCACTTGACTTGAGGTGACTGCAATGGTGATGAAAAGTCCAACCTCGCAAATCCTAAATCCTATAGGAGAAATACCTGTAAGAATAAGCGGAGTCCTGCGGGTGGGCCGCCTGGCTCGCAGAGTCCGGGAGATCATCGGCTGAGATGTTTTGCAGCCCTTCATCTCGAGGAGAATCGTGTGCACTTTCACCATCACCCATAACCTCTAAACAAAACCCATCCCCCACAAAGGATAAGCAGGTTAATCTGAAATATTCTGGCACCAGTTTTTCTGAGCAACTCAGCAATAAATTAGCATTGTGCTTTACAGTGAGAGTTCTTTGAAAAAGAAAGAGAACCTCAAACATTTAAACAAGATATTTATAGCAATGATAATATATCAAGAAAACACTTGTTGAGAAGAGAATGATTTTACTTCTTATACCAATCCTAATCAAAAACAATGACAAGTCTTTATTTAATAAAAATTATAATTCTGGCTCTGGTCAGTGTGGCTCAGTTGATTAAGTGTCATCCTGTGCACCAAAAAGTCCCCAATTCGATTCCCAGTCAAGGCACGTACCCAGGTTTTGGGTTCAATCCATCCCCAGTCAGGGTGCATGCAGGAGGCAACCGATTGAAGTTTTTCTCTCTCCCCCCCTCTAAAAAAATTAATAAAAACATATTTAAAAAAATACTCTAATCGGAATTAGTGAACCAGAGAACTGAAAGGGATCTCAAAATCATTTTATGCAACACTTCATTCTATGGACATGGAATCTTGCCCATAGAAGACAGCTGCAAACCCCTTGACTAGCCAGTGGCTGAGGGGACCATGTGTACAGGTCTCCATTCTCCTCCCCAGGGCTTCCCCTACTGCCCAGGGATGAGCTGGGAGGAATTCACAAATGCAGCCAGGACAAATCTGTGGTTCCACACTTGTTTTCAAGTAATCAATTTAGAAAAGGCATGTCTGTATAACATCAAAAGGAAAAAAAGCACAATAAAGATATTGTGCTTGTATAGAAAAAATATCTTTATCCTCAGAAGATAATCTCAAATGCTTCAGGAAAAACTATATAGAGAGAAATGTTAGAAAATGCTAACAACTGACAACTCTAGGTAGAGGAAATATGGACCTGCCCTGTATTATTTTTTCAACTTTTGTTATTTTAAAACTTTTCAAAATAAAAACTGTGCAAAGCTCACCTCTCCCAGACTCCCCCTCTCAATCTCCTTCCGGAGACACTCTGTGCACATACAAGCATACATACATGCAGTGTACAGGTTATGCTTTTATATTCTTTTGTTTCCTCTTCATTTATCTTGGGGATTGTACCATATTTTTGGGACAGCTATTCAAAAGTAGTGCTATTAAAAGGCTACTTTTAATTCAAATCACCTTTATCACTATGATACAAAAGTTACTATTCAAATCTTTATCATGGTTACCACCTGCACTTTCATAGCTGGCCACGGCTCCTTCACTGGGGCTGGTTCGTTTAATAGCATTCCTGTATTTGTCCAGAATATCCTCAGCAGCCTGAGCTTGTGCACTGAGTCTAGGGCTGGGATCATCTGCAGGGAAAGGAGAATGACAGAATTAGCTCCCCTCGGTTTGTACCAACTCTGATGTTAGTACGACACCAGGAGCATAATCCCAAAGGCCGATTAGGAGATAAGACTTAAAAAGAGCACATATCTCAATGTTAAGAGGCACCATGCAGCTACCTACTCCTCCCATTTCTAGATCTGAGAGCCTCGCCAAAGCATGGAATTGGGAGGATTAGCTCCCTTTTCTCATTATCACCAGAATTCTGCATGACGGTGTTGATATGTTCAGTGCAGACTCAACAGATGATGGGTTTCTAAAGTGCTTACACTCAAACCACTGTTATTAGCAACGCATGCTAATAGAACTTCCAACAATGCATTTTTATATGCAGACTTCATTTATTCAGACATCTCCATGCTGAAGGAACAAAAAAAGTACTCAAACTGAGAATTAAAGCCTTTTAAATAATAACAAAAATTGCCTTCCTCCAGTCTTGCTCCCTGGATTTCTCGCTCTACACCAGATTTGAAAACTTCAGATTTTCATCTGCTACCTCATTGGACCTCACCATGACAGCGTGGCTGCGGGAACACAGCACTTTGTGCATGCAGTGGTGTCAGAGGCACTCCCAGAGAAGCTAGATATTGTTGGGGAGTGCTGAAATTGTACCTGAGGCACACAGAGAAAAAGTTTATCACAATCACTTGAGGCAGCACTGTTTACTGACAGGACCGTCATCCTGTCAGCAAAATCGGCGTATTGAAATGTTTTCCTGCAGTCAAATTAATAGCCAGTTATCAAAGCAGAGCACTGCTACAGATCTATGGAACACAATCAAGTTCCACAGTGAAATGTAAAGTCCTGCAATAGATCTAGGCCAAGCAGGTAACTACCATAAATGTCCGCATTCTGGTAGAATCCCATTTTTTAAAAAGTCTAAAATCACATAAAAATCGCTAGAATTTATATGTGTGTGTTAATAGCAGCTAACATTTATTGAGCACTGACCATGTGCCAGGAACCGTGCCAAGCACCTTATAGGAACGATCTCAATCAATCATCACAACAACCCTACAGGGAGGTACTACTATCATCCTCATTTTACAGAAGAGGAAATTGAGGTATAAAGAGGTGAAGTACTTATACTCATAGGCTCTTCTTTTGTTTCCATGAAAAAAATATCTGGTATTTCTGTCTCTGTAAAATTGTAGTAAATTGGAGAGAGAGAATTTCCAAAGTAATTTAATCTTTCTGCTATAATGGCATTTGAATGCATGATCAGAGTCATGATCTGATCTTCACAATGTAAACTGATAAAACCTTTATCATTACAAAATTTTTCCTGGAGGGGGAGTCCTTTTTGCTATTGGTTTTCAGAGCTGTTGAGACTCTTTTGAAAAAGGGACAATTGAATTTGGCTAAATATAGTAAAAGCCATATGTTGCTTATTGACTTTATTTCTTTAACGCCATTCTTAAAAATTTTATCCCAGGGAAATAATCAAAACAAACAAAAAAATGTTGCCCTGGTAGGGTTGGCTCAGTGGTTGGAGCGTCAGCCTGCGGTTCCAAGAGACCGGGGTTCGGTTCCCGCTAAGGGCATGTACTTTGGTTGCAGTTTGCCCCTGGCCCTGGTTGGGTCGTGCAGGTGGCAGACACTCGATGTGTCCCTTTCACGTTGATGTTTCTCTCTCTCTCTCTCCCCCTCCCACTCTATCTGAACAAAAGAATGGAAAAATGTCCTCAGGTGAGGATTAAAAAAAAATGCTACATGTATGAGGCTGTGAGCATTAGTTTCATAGTAAAAGTTGGATACAATATAAATAGTCAAAAGCAAAAAAACACACATTAGCATGGTAACAAAATAATGTGATAGATCTTCTTAGAGCCAATAAAAATGATTTAAAAACCACTGTCACCCTGGCCGGTATCGCTCAGTGGTTAGAGCATTGGCCCACGGACCAGAGTCACGGGTTTGATTCTGGTCAAGGGCACATACCTCGGTTGCAGTTCGGTCCCAGCCCTGGTTGGGGTTATGTGGGAGGCAGTCAATTAATGTGTCTTTCTCACATTGATGTTTTTTTCTCTCTCTCTCTCTCCCCCTCCCTCACACTCTATCTGAAGATAAATGGAAAAATATCCTTGGTTGAGGATTTAAAACAACAACAACAACAACAAAACCTCACTATGTCTAGTAGAAGTTGGAGAGAGTACATGAAATAACTTGTGGTAAAAGAACACAGTTACAGCTCTGGTTGGTTTGGCTCATTGGTTAGAGTGTTAGCCCTTAGACAGAAGGTTCAATTCCCAGTCAAGGGCATATACCTGGGTTTCAGGTTTGATCCCTGACCCGGTTGGGGTCATGTGGGAAGCAACCAATCAATGTGTCTCTCTCACATCAATGTTTCTCTCTCTCCCTCACTCCTCTCTTCTACTCTCTCTAAAAATCAATGGAAATATATTTTCGGGTGAGGATTAATAACAACAACAAAAAAGAATATGGTTATATATATATACTCTGATTCAATCATGAAAAGCCATGTACAAATACAGAAAGATTGGGAGACAACATTAAAAAAAAAATAGTAAGAATGGTGGTATTCTGAAATATTGTTAAGAAATTTCCTTTCATAGCATTTAAAAATGGACTTAATAATAATTTTCAATGGGTCATTAGTTAGGATTGGGTAGAAGTTTTGACAGAGAAGTAAAATGGCTTGAATTATACACAAAGAAAATGAAAAATTTTATGAAAAAAATTTATTCTATTCTACTTAGCTTTCAGTTTAAGAACCAAGATTCAAGAAAAATGTATTGCCAAAAGACAAGTAAAAAATAATTTATTAACTTCTCAAAAATGATCAATTCAACATTATAAAAACATGAGGTTTCATTAAGAGTATTCCACTCTGTAAACATTGGTGATGTCCTAACCTAGGAACATGATAAGGAAACATAAATATTTTGCCAAAAGGATGTCTTTCCAACTCATCTCAGTCAGATTGTGAGTTCCTAAAGAACAGGGGTCACGTGTGATCTGACTTAATACCTACAACACTTAGCACAGTGCCCAGCATGAGTCAGATGTTCAACAAGTATTGGCTGATTGAATAAGATGGGCTTGACTGCTCTCAGCAGGGACCAGTGGCCTAGGAGCACAGCACCTGCTGTTCAAAACCCTTTATTCCAGGAAAGTCATGCATCAAAGCAGGGATGTGTGCTAGGACAAGGAACTACATCTAAATTTAACAGAGACTAGACATTAGAATAACATGCATTAAAATGGGATTCTACCTGTACTATACTGAGCTTTGAGGAGGATGTTCTTTTGAAACATATCCCATTTTTAAATAAAATTCTTCATTTTCACTTAGTAGAAAATAATTTAAAATCAAGATAAAGAAAAAAGAGGTGAGAAATTAATTTCCCTCTAGATGCTCTGTAGTCATTGGAAATAGTACACAGCTATCAAACTCAAGGTTGAGTCCTTAACACTACTATGCACACTCTTTCCTTTCAGGGTGCTCATTCATAATGTGACAAAAAGAAGCTGTAAAAATACAAATGCTGAATGCGGTAAGAACCCAACCCCTAGCTGTATTTTCCTTGGGTCAGATAGCCATGATAAAATGATTGAAGCTGTAAAAAATTGGTCAAGTTTATAAATTTATGATATTGTTTGAACAAACACCTTATCACGAAAAAAGGAAATGATTAGGTAAAAGAGAATCTCACTGTGATCCTGAATCATCAAGAGCTACAGATAAAAATAAATTTAGAATTCTACAATCAATGTTAGAGGAAACTATTCAAACAGTGATCCAAAGATTAAGGCATGCGCAGCACTAATACCATCATCACACTCTCCTAAAAGGCACTATGTTCATCATCCCACTGAGATGTCAAGCTGTAGGGTGTGTCTCGAGGCCCAGGATCAGGGGCCTCACCAGAAACGGGAGTCATGAGAATGAAGGTGATGATGGTGGTGGCGGTCTGCAGGAACAGTGCACTGAGACTCCCTGTGGCCAACTGGAAGCCACAGAGCTATGAAGAACATACTCCCCACTGTACACACACAGACACGCGCTTCTGAAAAGGTAACGCTTACAGCACCCAAGAAAAAGTGTTATGAAATATGTGCTCTGGGAATGAAGGAGCCAGGAAGTCCATGGGTCTACAAACCTGTGAGTGTTGAGAATCTGTCAGGCCCCAGATCATCTTTGTCTTTTTCTTGTTTTTCTTTCTTTCTAAATGGTATAGGAGCTGGAAATTAAATAAAGTCAGTAGTGTGACATATAACATACTGCACTACTCGGAAGACAGCAGTCATTTTGGAGTTAACTGGTGTGCCAACATTTCTAAGTGAAAGGAAGGTGAAAAGTTTAAAAGCTAAGAAATCCCAAGTGTCAACTGATAATGGCTCTTAAAATAGCATTGAAGGTTCTTAAAGAAGCGTTCAGAGTCGTCTGCCACAGGAAGAATGATTTAACGGGAATCTATTGGGATTAAATCAAAACCACTGCCTCTTAACCTCTGCTCAGAAACAACACATTCAAAACTCTGAGCCCATTCTCTCCTCCTCATCAAGTGGGCTTGAGTATGGCGTGAAGGTGGTGTTCCTCAGCTCCTGAGCACCGCAGGGCCAAGAAGAGGCCTTTGGAAGATGTCCCTAGCTCCATCCTGGATGATCTCTCCTTTCAAGAAGAGATGCCTTTGCAAAAACTCAAATCTCAGTATCTACTGGTACAATGCCAGGCTATTCACAAAAAAAGCAAACAATTTTATACAACTGCCTTCCAAAATAAACACTCACTAATATTCCAAGTATAAACATTCTCAAAGAATATAAACATTAAAAGCTTAAATTTATTTCAGGAATGTAAAGGATAAATTTAAAATTTTCAGTTTAATTGTGATAGCATCCCTTTTTCCTGCAATAATTATTGGCAATACATATGTCAAAAGTCCTACATGTCTTACATCAGGGGTACATGATATTTAAACAACCGTGACTTGCATGATTTCCATTTATGAAACCACTACCACTCTCTGCAAAGAACAAGAACTGTCACTTCTAAAGCTCTGCCTTAGCATTCACCTGCATGGAAACAGCTGGAAACAAGCCCAGCAAACCTCAGAGAGAGAAAGGAGTTGAGATGCTGGCTCTTTGAAAGAGATTTCGGGGCTTTGCTTCTTGTTGCTAATATGGCATTCTAATATTTTATCAAATTACCTTTAGGCATAGCAGAAACAAAACGTTTTCTCCACCAAGGTCTGTTCCTGTCTGATTTTTCATCATCGCTATCTTTGCGTTCTTCAGTCTGTAGGAAAAGTTTGATGCTTTATTTGGAGTTGGGCAGCAGGACAAATGACTAAGAAAAGGATTTCAGTTAGTCTGTGAAATATAAATACCTCTCAGGTTTGTCTTAAAAGCAAAACCATTATTATTGCTATATAGGAAGTCTCTAGAAAATGCAAATGTACCTTTTTAGCACCAGACAAGGATCTGCTTGAGGGTAGGCACTATTTCATCACTGTTAGTAAACTGAGAGCTTAATATGGAGCCTAGCCTAGAGTAGACACTTAATACATTCTTATAAGTAAATGCAATGCAAATAAAGATAGCCCTGGCCGGTTTGGCTCAGTGGTTAGAGCATCGGCCCACGGACCAGAGAAGCCCAGGTTCGGTTCCCCCTAAGGGAGCACACCTCGGTTGCAATTTGTCCCCAGCCCTTGCTGGGGTCGCGTGGGTGGCAACCAGTCAATGTGTCTCTCTCACATCGATGTTTCTTTCTCTCTCTTCCTCCCTCTCTTATCTGAAGATAAATGCAAAAATGTCCTCAGGTGAGGATTAAAATAATAATAACAATAATAATAATAAAGAATAGTAGAGATGGTAGCAGTATATTAATAATCAAACCAAGTCTGTACTGTGTGCCAAACACTGAGTGTAAGGATATATCTCATTTAAACCTCACAGTAGCCTTAGAAGATAAATACTATTATTAAGCCCTTTTTACAGATGAGAAATTTGAGGCTAAAAACGGTTATCAGTCATCTTTCCAAAGTTATACAGCATGTATATGGTACAGCTGGGACTCAAGCCTAAATCTGACCAACCTCAAAGTTCATGTTTTGATCACCAATTATGTTGCATTATCATTAAGACCACATGTCACTAGCCCATCATGTGACCTTAGATAAATTATCTAATTTGTTTCTTCATCTATACAACTGGAACTAAAATATTTTCTCTAAGGGCATTCATGTAGATGGGACATCACAACCCTAGGAGAGAGGTGAGGGATCTGTGCCACAGATGGTTTAGTAGTGGGGACGGGATATTGATTAGATACATGGGCACTGATCGAGTAGATATACATATAAAGAATAATAAAAACAGGTTTCTGTTGGAGAAGGGAGTTACAAATATGGAAAGGGAGAAAGATGAAATAAACTATTGTTTTTTTGACTAGAATGAAATTTATAGGTGTGAGCTCATGGTTCTCTACATATAAAAAGAAAGACACAGCCTGGCAGGTGTGGCTCAGTGGATTGAGCATCATCCCAGGGTACTGAGAGGTCCCAGTTTGATTCCTGGTCAGGGCACATGCCCAGGATTGCAGGTTCGATCCCCGGTGGGGGCCATGCAGGAGGCAACTGATCAATGTGTCTCTCTCACATTGATTTTTCTCTCTCTCCCTTCCTCTTTTTCTAAAAAATTAATAAAAAATGAAAGATATACATAAAAATACACATGTAAGTGTGTGTGTATGTATATGTATATTCTCTCTCTCACTCTCTCTCCATGGCTCTGTCTACTGCAAGGTCCTGGGAGCAGTAACATCCCTGTAGCAAAGAGCACACCTAGTATCCAGATCTTGTTTTCTAAAAACCATTTTCTACTAAAAGGAGAAATGGCTTACTCCAGGACTAGGATAGACACTGAACAAAATCACCTTATAAAATTTTGTGCCAAAAGGAAAGATACTCAAAGAATGATAGTAGCATATCAAAAGAACCTCTTACAGCTTAAAGGGGCTCCCACTGACCACACCAGGAACAAAAATAAATGACAGTAATAAACCCACTGACTAAAATAGAAAACCATGGGACCACAGATATAATTAATGAATAAATTAAAAATCTGATGAAGAACAGGATATTTACATATTTTCAAAGGTCCCCCCAAACACACACACAAAATACTTATTAATTACAAAGGAGAAGGAAACAACTTTACAGTGGGGAAGCCTGGCAGACAATACCTTCATCAAATGATCCAAATGACCACCACAGGTGTGAGACAAATCAAAATTGTGTGCTAGCTGATGCAGTGAAATGAGCACTGTCATGTTAGTGATATTCCTGTCAAAGATGAATCACCTGAAACTAGTCATGAGAAAACATCAAACCTAAATTCTAGAAACTGGCCTGTAATTTTTGAGAGTGTGAATATCATAAAAGTCAAGGGAAAACTGAGGAAATGTTTTAGACTGAGAATAAAATTACATGACAACTAAATATAAGGTGTGATTCTGAATGGGATCCTTTTACTGTAAGAATGTTACCAGGACACATGAATAGAGTGTGAGAATTAGATGTAGTAATGTGTCAATTTTAATTTCCTGATGTTGATGATTGTATTATGTGTAGGAAAAGGTGCTTGTTTGTAGGGCACTACACTAAAGTATTCACAGGTGATGAATACAGGAGCATCGGGTTGGCAACTTACTCTCACATGGCTGGGAGGAGGAGTGTTTTTTATCTACTTCCAAATTCTTTATAACTCTGTAATTGTTTCAAAATAAAAAATAATACCTCGTTGGAAAAGAAAAAAAAGAAAAAATAACAGCTAACTATCTTGGAAAGAAACTGTGATGTTTAAATGAAATCTGATATAAAATTATTTGGAGAAAGTTAAAAGTGTCATAAAAATTCAAGATACTTTACTACAAAACCAAAGTACTATAGGTTTCCTATGGATATGGTTGTTGATATACTAGATTGACAAATCATCTTTAATCATGACTACTGTCCATCCTTAATCCTAGATATATATAATTCATGTTAATTTCAGATATCAAGAGAATCAGGCAGACAGACATTAAAGCTGACCACAATCAGCAAATTCTCCTTCGAGGTCTGCGTCCCATACCTCTCCTCTTGAGGAGTCCTTACTCGGAGATGAAGATGACGAATGAGGTGCAGCCACCAAAGAAGTAGCACCAATGGCTGCAGCTGGAGGGAGTTCTCGCTCTTCAGTGCCTGGGCGGCGGTTCCAGCTGGGGTCACTCATGGGTCTCCGGACAGAAGACACTATGTCAGAGCTCCTGCTGCGAACTAATCTTTCAGGGTAAGAATGCCTTTGCTTGAATGCCTCCATTTCAGCTGGAGTTAAAACATGGGAACCAAAGTTTGGCAGCCTGGCCTCATTTCCTCCCACAGCTCCTTCCAGGATTGGTGGGTCTGGTGGTGGATGCGATGGCCTGGCATAGTGGACCTTTGGCCTTACCACAGCAGAAGCCCCTGGAACACAGGAAGAAGTTTGCAATTGAAACACAACTGATCCAACCAAGGATTAACAAAGGATTTTGGTTGCATTCTTCTGTCTGTGATAAGACAAGAGTCAACAAGCTCACTGGATGATCATTTCACAATACATACAAATACTGAATCATTATGTTGTGCACTTGAAACTAATATAATGCTATATATCAATTATATCTCAATTTTTAAAAAGTTCATTTGACAAGTTTACCTTCATGTGAAGACAGTGGATCAAACATGGCCAGCAGAGAGTCTGACTGAGAAGGGGGAGAGGTCAGATGGTGGGCACCTAAAACAGATGGGCAAACAGAACTCAGGCCTCAATGAGAGTTTCAACACAGTAAAAATGGTTCTGACATTCTTCCAGTTTTCAAACTTTTTTCAATTAGAACTTGCGAGGCATATCAGGGGGAAAAAAGAATTAATAAAGGTCAAATTCTGATTACTCCTAATTCATTTTATGTTTTTTCCCACATGTATGGATTTTAATTACACTTAAGTGGTTTATCATCCATATGCCTGTTACTTATATGGCCAAATTGTATCACAGTTTATGCAAAGATCACAGAGCCAGAAGATGTAAATCTTAAAAATTTTCAGAATGTTACAACTTTCCTGAAACTCAGATTCTGCCTATAAAAATAGGGGCAGCACTACCTACAGAAGGAATATAAATAAAAAATTGGAAAATTTGAAATTCTAATACTGCTCTCAACAAATGACAATTTATAAAATAACTCATATTAAAATGAATACTTCCACATTACACCATGAAATAAACTCGAACTTCTAAAGTGCACTCTCTTAGCTAGAGGGTAAAAGATGACTCCTCTAATCATATGTCTAAACGATCAAAATCAGAAATATTAAAATAGGTAAGTGTGCAGAAGCCAACACTTTCCAATATATAAAACCTGTTACTGTAGACTTTTTGAGTCTGAGCTGTCTTTTAAAAATTGTATTTGTTGACTTGAGAGAAGGGTGGGGGGAGAGGAACTCTGATTTATTGTTCCACTTATTTATGCATTCACTGGTTGATTCCTTTTTTTTAAATACATTTTTATTGATTTTTTTAGGGAGAGGAAGAGAGAAAGAGACAGAAACATCGATGTGAGAAAGAAACATCAATTGGCTGCCTCCTGCACACTTCCTGCTGGAGACTGAGCCCACAACCTGGGCATGTGCCCTGACCGGGAATCAAACCAGGACCTCTCAGTCCATGGGATGATGCTCAATCCACTGAGCCACACCGATCCGGCTGATTCTTATTTTTTTTAAATTGATTTCAGAGAGAGAGAGAGAAACCAATCAGTTGCTTCTTAAATGCACCCCATCCGGGGATAGAACCTGCAACCTGGGTAATATGCTCTGACTAGAAATAGAACCCACCACCTTTGATACACAGGACGACACTTCAACCAACAGAGCCACACCGGCCAGGTCTCATTGGTGGATTCTTTTTGTTTTTAAATATGTTTTTATTTATTTTTTTAGAAAGAAAGGAATGGAGGGAGACTGATTTGTTGTTCCACTTATTTATGCACTTGTTGGTTGATTCTTGTCCAGGGATGGAACCCACAACCCTCGTGTGAAGGGATGATGCTCCAACCAAATGAGCTACCCTGTCAGATGAGCTATCCTTTTTTATAATGAATGATAGTATTATTCCTTTTGATTTTTCCTTTTGTTCTACATCTTATATTTATCTTTCTTTTAAAAAATAATAGATATAGCATTATGAAAGATAGCTTAGAACATTAGTTCTCAAAATGTTGATCTTAGGACACCTTTATTCTTAAAAATTACTGATTCATTATATTTATTATTTACCATACTAGAAATTAAAAATGAAAATACTATATTTTCTGAAATAAAAAATAACAAGAAGAGTGACAGTTTTACATTTTTACCAATTCCTTTACTATATGGCTAAATAGAACGTAGCTGGATTCTTATATCTGCTCCGGTTTTGAATTAGTTACAATATGTTGTTTTGGTTAAATAAAATATCGAGCCCAGCTGGTGTGGCTCAGTGGTTGAGCGTCGACCCATGTATCAAGGGGTCATCAGCTTGATTCCCGCTCAGGGCACATGCCCAGGTTGTGGGACCGATCCCCAGTGGGGGGCATGCAGGAGGCGGCTGTCAATGTTCTCTCTCATCGATGTTTCTACCTCTCTTTCCTTCTTTCTTTCTCTCTCTAAAAATAAATAAAGAAAATTATCTTTTAAAAAAAAGAATATATAGAAAAACTGACCTTACACATATAGTTGAAAAGCAGAAGATATTTTAATAGTCTTTTCAGTAATTGTGGAAATTCCTCTTTGATACTACATAAAATCTTGACAAGTAGTTTTTTAAAGGTTAGCTACAATGTGGTGACTGAAACCAAATCGATGAAATTTCCTATACTCAGTTATTTAAAATTACTAATTGGTCTGTCTTGCACTTTAAATGCACGTTTTACCCATGCATGATATTGTATGTAACATCATGCGTTGATGATCATCTGGAAAATACTGGTTCAATTAGATACCCAAATCTTCCAAATGTTGACACATGTCAAGATATGAAATTTAAAAATTTCATTCTTATCACCACCAATCTCATCAGAAAAGTCTTTAAACAGTGGGAAACTGTTAAGCTCATAAAACGGTAGATATAAGTTTTCCAAAATTATAATTTTTATCTAAAAGGTTGAATGGTATCATTGGCAACAAACTCTACCTTGTCGATTGTTTTCCTGCAAGTGACAGGTTGATTCTCATAGTATTCAACAAATGCCCTGGCCAGTTTGGCTTAGCGGCTGGAACGTCAGCCTGTGGTCCAGAGACCTGGTTTCGGTTCCCGCTAAGGGCACGTACTTCGGTTGCAGTTTGTCCCCGGCCCTGGTTGGGTCGTGCGGGTGGCAGCCACTTGATGTGTCCCTTTCGCTTTGATGTTTCTCTCTCTCTCTCTCTCTCTCTCTCTCTTCCTCTCTCTCCCTCCTGCTCTGTCTGAATTAAAAAAAAAAAAAAAAGGAGCCCTGGCCAGTTTGGCTCAGCGGTTAGAGCGTCGGCCTGCGGTCCGGAGAGACCCGGGTTCGGTTCCCGCTAAGGGCACGTACTTCGGTTGCAGTTTGTCCCCGGCCCTGGTTGGTCGTGCGGGTGGCAGCCACTCAATGTGTCCCTTCACGTCGATGTTTCTCTCTCTCTCTCCCTTCCTCTCTCTCCCTCCCACTCCATCTGTACAAAAAATGGAAAAATATCCTCGGGTGAGGATTAAAAAAAAAAAAAAAAAAGGAAAAATTTCCTCCGGTGAAGATAAAAAAAAAGAAATGTCTGTCAAATACCCAAGGATGAATAACGAGTTTGTCAGGCATTCTTTCAAGTAAAATTGGTGTCTCATGAAAAATAAACAAACAAGAAAAAAAAAACAGGTAGTAAGCTTACAACTCAAACAATCATATAGGTGTTTTTCCTTGAGATATTTCATTCCAGATTGCACTAGAAATGTATCAGGGGTACTTACTATTTTCTTCACATAGAATATTAAAAAGATGTGTGCTCAAGGATTGAGATGTAATAAATACTTTTTACTGCTTCACCAGAGACTCTCAAAAGGTCTCTTTTTTTAAATTGTGAGAGACAACATGACTGGGAGCACAGTCTGTGCCACTGCCCTGCTTTGTGCTAACTGCCTCGGCAAATTCACCCACCTTTCTTGTGCACCATCAGTGCAAATGTCAACACATGGAAAGGACAATAACCTTTTGTTATTATGAAAATCGTTTTTTGTGTTCTTTTTTTTTTTAACCCTCACCTAAGGATATTTTTCCATTTACCATCAGATAGAGGGAGAGAGAGAGAGAAACACTGACGTGAGACTGCTTGCCTTCCACACGACCTGACCAGGGCTGGGGATGAACCATAAGTAAGGTACGTGCCCTTGACTGGAATCGAACCAGTAACTCATTGGTCCACAGGCCAATGCTCTAACCACTGAGTAAAACTGGCCAGGGCAAACCAGTTTGATCTCAACTCCCCACTCCAAAGGGTCTTAAGGACCCTCAGTGGTCCATAATAACTATAGTTTGAAAGCCGCAACTTTAGAACAATGGTTCTCAACTGGGGCTATTTTGCACCCCCAGCAATCATTTGACAATGTCTGGACACATTTTTGGTTGTTACAACTGCAAGGGAGAGAAGAAGGTGGTGTGCTCCCAGTAGAGGCCAGAGATGCTGCTAAATATCCTACAATGCACAGGACAGGCCCCACAACAAAGAACTATCTGACCCAAATGTCCATAGTACTGAGGATGAGAAACCTTGGTATAGAACAAACAAAAATGTTAAAAAAAAAAAAAAAGGTATCTCGAAATCCAGTACCCAATATATGTTTAAAACTACTGCTAGCAGTTTGGTGTTTCTTTCCAGTGTTTTCACTATAATAGATTTTTAAATGTTTTGTCTTATATATAAAATTGTTTAAAATACAGTTTCCAAGTGATATGTTCCAGAAATTTCTCCAAATTATTTCACATTATTTAAAGCATTTAAAAAATAACTGCATAGCCCTGACTAGTTTGGCTCAGCGGTTAGAGCATCAGCCCACAAACCAGCGAGTCCCAAGTTCGATTCTCGCTAAGGGCAGGTATCTCGGTTGTGGTTCGTCCCCGGCCCCAGTTGGGGTTGTGTGGGTGGCAACCAATCGATGTGTCTCTCTCACATCGATGTTTCCCTTTCTCTCTCTCTCTCCCTTTCTCCCTCCTGCTCCATCTGAAGATAAATGCAAAAATGTCCTTGGGTGAGGATAAAAAATAAATAAATAAATAAACAAACAAACAAATAACTGCATAGCCCAGCCAGTATGGCTCAGTGGTTGAGCGTCGACCCATGCACCAAGAGGTCGCCAGTTCAATTTCTGGTCAGGGCACATACCCAGGTTGTGGGCCCAATCTCTAGTGGGGGGCATGTAGGAGGCAGCCAATAGATGTTCTCTCTCATCAATATTTCTCTCTCTCTCTCTCCCTTCCTCTCTTTCTAAAATCAATGAAAAATAAATAAATAAAAATAACCGCGTAAATTCTAATAAGTGGTTTAGCCATTCTATGATTAGGTTATTTCTAAATTATTTGCAAACATTAACATTAAAGAACATCTTTGTGCCCTGGCCAGTTGCTCAGTGGTTAGAGCATTGGCCCAGAGACCAAAGGGTCACAGGTTCAATTCCCGGTGAAGGGCACATACCTGGGTTGCAGGTTCCATCCCCAGCCCCAGTCAGAGTCATATGGGAGACAACCAACAGATGTATCTCTCTCATATCAATGTTTCTCTCTCTCCCTCCCTCCTTCCCTCCCTTTCACTCCTTAAAAACACAAAAAAAAATCAATGGAAAAACATCTTTGGGTGAGGATTAACCAAAAATAAATAAATAAATAAATAAATAAAAACAATATCTTTGTGCATAAGACTTTCTCCATACATGGAACTATTTCCTTATGACTGATTCCTAAGGTGGACCAAATTTAGTATGTGAAATTTTTTTTTTTTTAATCCTCATCCAAGGACATTTTTCCATTCTTTGTTCAGATAGAGTGGGGGGGGGGAGAAACATTGACGTAAAAGGGACACATCGAGTGGCTGCCACCCGCATGACCCAATCAGGGCTGGGGACAAACTGCAACTGAGGTACGTGTCCTTAGCAGAAACCAAACCCAGGTCTCTCTGGACCGCAGGCCGACACTCTATAACTGCTGAGCCAAACCGGCCACGGCAGTATGTGAATTTTTAAGGCCTTATATACCTATTGCCAAATTATGCCCCAACGTGCTATAACAATTGATATTATCACCAGCAATGTGTAAGACTGCCAGTCTCACCACGAGTGTGACTGTTTTATTTATTTATGTATTTATTTATTTATTTTTTAATCCTCACCCAAGGACACTTTTGCATTTATTCTCAGACAGAGCAGGAGGCAGAGGGGTGGGGGGGGGGAGAGAGAAACATTGACGTGAGACACATCAAGTGGTCACCACCTGCACCCACCTGGGGCTGGGGACAAACTGCAACCGAGGTACATGCCCTTAGCAGGAACTGAACCTAGGACTCTCCAGCCCACAGGCCGATGCTCTAACCGCTGAGCCAAACCAGCCAGGGCAAGTGTGACTGTTTTAAAAAATCATTTCCCCTTCTTACCATGAGTTACTTCATCCATGTCTGGACTAGTGACAGAATCTTTACCCCCAAAGTCAGAGCTGCACTCTGATCTCAGGTCTTCAATCTTATTGGGAATATCCTCAGAGGTTGCACTGATGCCTTAAAAAAAAGAAAGCAAAAAAATAAACAGAAAGAACAAAATAACCACACAAAAAGTATATGAGATTTGGGGAAATGTAAACATTCTCAAATTTTTGCATCCCAATTTTATACATGTGAGTTGTACAATAATTATCCTTTATTGTACTATTGCTTACATTTGCGCAACATAACCAGAACTATCATATGACATTTAAATACAGTAGCACAGCTACCAAGAACAGATAGAGGTATAGAGGGAACACATACAGACTGTCTGCCAATTACTTCAACAGGCTCTAAAAAAGCCACAACATTCAATTCTCATAGATTTAAGGGTCCATAGAAATCTTTTTTTTTTTTCCGGAAATTACTCAGCTCTTAAATAAAACACATTTCTTTGCTATCAACTTTATAAATAGGGAGGTGGGAACACATCTTGAAATCCTTATTCCTTAAAACAAGACAGACATACCCGACACAACACTGAGGCCTGGTGTGCTGGGGCGGGAACTGACCTCCCTGACATCCGTATCATCAGATGTGCTGCCCAGTCCCGAACAGCTCTCCAGTTCCTGCAGACGTTCCTCCTGCTTTAGATCTGGGGCCTCTAAACAGAAGATGTGAGGTGTCACATTAGTGATTTGTTAGCATGCCACAGTTTCAGCTTGTGACCCAGATGATGAAAGCTACCAGGGCATGAATGAAATCAGTGTAAATAGATTTCTAAGTCTGGGCCAGTTAGCAAAGTTAGTTAGATTAAGTGTTAAGAAAGTAAGGTTGTGATTTTCATCCCCAATCTAGGCCAGTTTGTCATGCAAAGATGAAAACTGCTTCCATGTCACTAATCTCATAGTATGTGCTCTTGGTTAGCAAGTACACTGAGCAAGAGAATATGAAATAACCTAGCATTAAATCAACCACTTTCTAAAAAACAACTATTGATGCTCAACAGATAGTGAGCTAATCCTACTGTCTCCTTATGTAAAGGTTAGCATATCTGAATGTGTTAAGATTATAAAACACATATCAGGACCACTTAATTATTCTTGAGCCAAGAAGATTAGACAGAATGTAATTCACACACAGTTATTTATATTTGCATTCTGGTAGTTGACATTTAGTTGAAGGCAAAGAGTTATCTTCATAATCAGAAAAAAATAAAATAGAAATACAATACATGAGAAAAAAGAAAATACAAAACACTTTATATACATTTACAATAATTCTGCACAAAATAATTCTCAATACTCCAGAGTCTCAATTTCAGTGCATTTCAAGAATACATTAGATATCTTTTAAAGGGTCAAGTTCTCCCCGTGTAAATCTAAACATGCTTACCAGGCATCCAACCACTCAGGGATGCTCTTTTGTGATGAGTTAGTGGGACACACTGGACTCAGTGTCCCACACAGAACCCTGATGAATTACTAACAGTTGCTTCCAAAAGAACTGAACGCAGAGTCAGAAAGCTCCTGCCATCTTAGCCAATGCCATCCAACACTGCATTTTTTCTTGATGAACAGAAAATGCCATAAACTAATTTTCCATTTGACATTCTTAGCAATATGATTTCCTCACACTTGTCAATGTATATGTCAAATGTATATCTGACAAAATGTCCATATACAGAAATTAGAATTCCTTACATTTAAAACTTCTGTGCAAATCAAAATGCAAATAATGACAGCATACTAACCTGAGTCACTTGGCAAAACCTCTACACTCCAAGCTTCGCTTGTTGTCTCTGATATGGTAGAACCAGTGCAGGGGTCAAGAAGCACTGATCCTGACCCTGGCAGGCACAGTAAACTGCCTAACATGTTCTCTGCTGCTGCACCTGTATAACCAGTGGGGAGCAAAGGGTTAACAAAGATCCTGATGGAAAGCAGCAATAATGGAGAAAAGCCAAACACTAACCCTAACAAACCTCTCTACTCTATCCACAAGAAAGAAGCCAAGGTAAGAGTCATTTCAATCAATAACACCACTAAAACCTCAAATTCCCACTTGTGGTCGCAAGCTCTTTTTCATCTATTGCCTCCTGTTCACCTTGGACTCTCCATAGAGAAAACACATTGTTAGATCAAGTCATTTCAACTAGCTTTCACCTTGGTTTTTCAGCAAATTTTATGTGTGTTCCTAATAACTCTCTCAAATTTATAGTCCTGCAAGGATTAAAAACACTCAAATGGAGACATTTAAACACAAAAGTTATACTGGCCGAAATATGTTTTCTTCTGGCACATTAGCCACATATTCAGAGCAATAAAATATATTTGCAGTAAACACACATTGCTTCTCCAGCACCTGTTTAACTGCAAATACAGCTTATTGCTCAAATAGAGCTTACTGCCAGAAAAAATACTAAATGCTTTAGCATCTGGAACAAAGTAATGCAAGAACCAATTAAGAAATCTATTTACACTACTTAAAAATTATACAGGATTGCCCTGGCTGGTGTGGCTCTGTGCTTGGAGCATCAGCCCACACACCGAAGGGTCAAGGGTTCGAATCCCAGTCAAGGGCACGTACCTGGGTTGCAGGTTCAATCCCCAGCCCTGGTCAGGGTGCATGCAGGAAGCAACGAATTGATGTGTGTCTCTCACATCGATGTTTCTCTCTCTTTACTTCTCCTTCTCTCTTCCCCACCCCTTTTCTCCCCCCCTCTCTCTCCCCTCCCTCCCTCCCTTCCACCCTCTCCAAAAATCAATGGAAAAAATATCCTCGGTTAAGGATTAACAACAACAACAACAACAAAAATACATACAGGATTAAACATTATTATACACCTTTGTTAAAAATACTCAAGTTCAATGCTCCACTACTTCTGGCTAAACCTAATACAAGAACAATTCTACTCCAGTGCATGAAAAAACTTCTGGGAAAAAGTTACTGGTAAAAGTTACCTTTTAAAGATATGTCATTACCTAATTACAAATATAAAGTCTGGAACCTGCTGAAACATAATGGGGGAAGGGGATAAAAGGTAGTGGGTGGGAGAAGAGATGAAACAAGCTGGCCATGTGTGTGTGTGACTGCTGAAGCTGAATGATGGGTACGCAAAGCTCATTATGCTATTCTGCCTGGTATTTGTTTGAAATGTTCCATGATTTAAAAAGAAAATGAAGCCCTGGCCGGTTTGGCTCAGCGGTTAGAACGTCGGCCTGTGGTCCAGAGAGACCCGGGTTCGGTTCCTGCTAAAGGTGCATACCTCAGTTGCAGTCTGTCCCTGTCCCTGGCCCTGGTTGGTCGTGCGGGTGGCAGCCACTCGATGGGTTCCTTTCGCATCGATGTTTCTCTCTTTCTCTCTTCCTCTCTCTCCCTCCCACTCTATATGAACAAAAAATGAAAAAATGTCCTCGGGTGAGGATAAAAAAGAAAAAGAAAAAGAAAATGAAGATGGTGGTTACAAGACAGAATGAATCTTTCAGAATTCACAGAACAGTATCCTAAGAGGGATGAATTTTAATGTTTGTAAATTATACATCAATAAACTTGATATAAAAAAAAAAGAAAAAGAAAAAAACTGGTTACTTTTTGGAACTGAATTAATCCTTCCAGAGGTAAATTCAATTTCTAGAGGTTCTCAGTATCATATTATTCTGAAAGATTTATGGCTGTAATCAGAATTTTCATCTTAGGTGTTTAGTCTCTAAAGAACATCCTAATCATCGACTAAGAACATATACTACAAACAATACTGGACAATAAGCTAATTCAAAAGACTGGTTTTTCTTCTTTAGGGGAGTGGGGGTAGAGTTAAACACAGACAGGAAAAGCATACCTATATTTAAGTAAAGAAAAAAAAAAATACAGAAATGCCTTGTTATATGCAGCTATCTCTGTTTCCCAGTCAGTGCTGTCGGAGCACTGAAGTTCCCTCCCAAGAAGGGTGGTGGATATGAACAACTAAATAGCAATCTTCCAGAGACATTAAAGAGTAGTTACCTGCAATTTCTTGCAAACGATCTTCATCAATGTTAGGGTCAAAATCACTTCCTAAGACATCTGTACTCCAGGTCTCACTCACTGTTTCTGATATATCCCTATCATCTGTCAATCCCATCATATCACGAATTTCAAACTTCCTCAGTTTATCATCAAGATTATCTTGTGTCGTGGCTATCAAAAACAAAATTAAGCACTTAAAAAATGGTAACACAACTATGATTTCTTAATCAAATTTGAAGAACTTTAAGTATTTGAAATCCATTTTACATATTTTATAGTTAGCACTGGGCACACAATACCAAAACATTGAATTATTCCCCCACAGGTGTAGTCTTTCCCTCTCTGAACTGAGCTCAGTATATGTACTCCCCTTCCTGCAGATTAACTGGGGCCATCAATGCAATCAATTGTCTCCCTGTATCCTCAACCACTGCAGTGTGACTTTGATCAAGAACTGAGATAGCCCCGGCCGGTTTTCTCAGTGGTTAGAGCATCAGCCTGTGGACCAGAGTCCCAGGTTTGATTCCGGCCAAAGGCACGTACCTCAGTTGTGGTTTGTCCCCAGCCCCAGTTGGGGTCGTGCAGGTGGCAACCAATCGATGTGTCCTCTCACATCAATGTTTCTCTCTTCCCCTCCTACTCTGTCTGAAGATAATGTAAAAATATCCTCGGGTGAGGATTCAAAAAAAAAAAGAAAATTCATTTTCTGGAAAAAAAATTTGGATTTATAAAAAAAAAAAAAAAAGAATCAGGATATATTCTTATCTCTTTGAATTTGCACAGGGCCTTATTACTCGCTTTGGCCAAAAGGGTACAGAGGAAGTGTGCCAGTTGTGAGGTTAGGCCTCCAGTGACATTATAAACTTTTGCTTTCTCTCTCACCCTTGCTTCTCTCATGAGAACAAGCTTAAGCTGGCCAGGAGGATGAGGGTCCACACTGGAGCAAAGCAAAGATCATTCTAGACATGCCAGCTCCCCACTGACCAATCGACCCCCAGCTAAGATTAGCAGAACTCCCTACTCGACCACTGGTGACCATAGATGTATCAGTGAGCCCAGTCCAAAGCAGAAACAGCACCCAGCTGACACACAGACTTGAGAGCAGAAATAAATGTTTACTGTTTTAAATCATTAAGTTTTAAGGTGGCTTGTTACATAACACTGTGGCAATAATTAACTGATAAACCCATACTAAAAAATATTTTTCATTTGACTTGGATATATCCCTCCCACCCCAATTCTAGAGTTTTCTCTAATGAGAAGCAACAGTCTGCAATTCATGTCTGAATCTAGTGTTCACAAAATGTAGACTGCCAACCCCTACATCAGAGTGACCTAGATAGAGGGCCTGTTAAGGAGGTGACAGGCTCCCAGTTTCTGTTGTAAGCTAGCATTATTTTAGTTTTCTCTACTGTTTGTAGAAAATTTAATCCTAATTGATACAATGACAAATTGATCCAGTAAACTATACCACTGCTTTTATTCACGCCACCCATACCCCGACTGGCAATGCTCTCCTCCTCTCTAAAATGGACCGAACCAGGGTTTCTAGAAATGAGACATGAAAAGTGGTTCTTGTTTTTTAAACTCCCCAGGTAATTTTTATGCACAATGAATTGCAAGAATCACTGCCTCAAACCCAGTTGAGAACATGTACCCTTCACACCCCACTGAAGGCCACCAGTAGTCTTTAAATACAATCCAAAGACCCTTTTCAGATTAATCTTCCCAAAGTACAACAGGGACCCAGCTGTTTCCCAGTCCTTACTTCGTGCTATTCCCTACATCAGTGGTTCTCAACCTGTGGGTCACGAGCCCTTTTGGGATCGAACGACCCTTTCACAGGGGTTGCCTAAGACCATCGGAAAACATGTATTTCCAATGGTGATTCATAACAGTGGCAAAATTACAGTTATGAAGTAGCAACAAAAATAATTTTATGGTTGGGGGTCACCACAACATGAAGAACTGTATTAAAGGGCTGTGGTTGCCCTGGCCGGTTTGGCTCAGCGGTTACAGCGTCGGCCTGTGGTCCGGAGAGACCCGGGTTCAGTTCCCACTAAGGGCATGTACCTCGGTTGCAGTTTGTCCCCGGCCCTGGTCAGTTGTGCGGGTGGCAGCCACTCGATGTGTCCCTTTCACATCGATGTTTCTCTCTCTCTGTTCTTCTCCCTCCCTCCCACTCTACCTGAACAAAAAATGGAAAAAACGTCCTCTGGTGAGGATTAAAAATAAATAAATAAATAAATAAAGGGCTGTGGTATTAGAAAGGTTGAGAACCACTGCCCTACATGGTAGTTCCCAAATAAATACTGTGGTTTCCCACCTCTCTGACTTGCTTATAGCTTATACCATTCCTGCCAGTGCAATGCCAGCCAGGCTTTAAGGCTGGTATTTTCTTCCAATAAGCTTTCCCCTAAATTTTCAATCACTCAGAACTGCCACATTTGTGTACCGTTCTCTCCCTGTTCCAGGTTCCTTGAGCCATGAGGTTTTATCTTTGTGTCTCTTAAAATTTTAATATTACAGAATTGAAATACCAAATGTTACAGAATTCAAGCCATTCATTTTCATTTTTCTATGTAACTAAAATCTAAACAATTCACTTACCAACTAAACACATCTTGAAGAACTGAAGGAACTATGAATAAATGTAAGTCTAATGGTCATTCTATAATCAAATTTAGTCTTACTGACCATGGCCAACTCACATGGCAACACATCGTTTCTCTTGCAACCAGGTAAGTCCTTTGCTACTTCAGCACCTGTGTCCCCTTCACCTTACCTTGCTCATGCTCCAGTAGCTGGAGAGCATCAGCTCCATTACTGCCAGAAGGTCCTGCTCCCAGTTCTGATACAGACTCTCCTTCTAGGTCTAGAGAGGACACTGAGTTGGAGCGATTTGAAGGACCTAGAGAAACGTTTCTACTGTGAGTGAGCTTAAATAGTCATGAGCCATCATGCAACTTTTCATGCCTTGATAAAGGACTAAAGACTACGTAAAGTGCTTTTAACGCTGCGTTTATACCTTAAAAATATATATGCCCTTTAGGCCAGCAATTCTGCTTCTAGAGAATTATCCTAAGGAACAATTCAAAAATACATCTAAAGTTGCTTATTTCAGGGCTTCTTACAAGCAGAAAATGGAAGCAATTTACATTTTTAATCACAGAAGAATGTTTAAATAAATTATGATACAAAATAGCCATTAAACACCATGTTATTTAAGAATGTTAAATTATCAAGAGAAATGTTACTGTTATATTGTTAAACAAAAAAAGGTTACAAAACAGCATCAACCTAATCTTGCTATAAATAAACCAAAATGTTAACTGTTATTAACAGAATGGTAAGATTGCAGATAATTCCATTTTTTTCAGCATTTTCTAGAATGAATGTACATTACTTATGTTTTGAAAAATTAGAGGAAAGAAAAAGTTATCACATTTTATGTTTATTCTAAAATGTTAGTAAACTTGAACTTTTTCATTAAAAATATTGGTCCTAGTAGAATATGGAATGACAGTCTCACTTCAAAATCTTGCCTTTAAATTTCTTTTTATTCCTATTTCCATTTTATCTTTCCTCTTCATAAAACGTGTGAGTGTGAGAATAAACAGAACATTAGAAATATACACAACATCCTGAAATACTAGTGAGTCCATTTTTCCCATTTAGACATGCATTGCATCGCTCTAAAGGAGCTCTATACATTTCGGTATATGTCAACATTAGAGAAACAAAACTTGGTATTATTCAAATCTCAGTGAAGACTCATATCTTCTCCATTTTATATGATCAAAAGTCTCTTGCAATCTTTTTTTAAAAATTGTTTTTCTTGCAATCTTAATTTTATTCAAGAAACAATCTTACAGCCAACTGTTCCAGATCATTAGAGGAAAACTTCATTACTCTCCTCAGTCAGGGGCACAACTGGTATAATTATAATCTATAAGGCTCCTTTAAAGAACACAAAACAAAATATTACTTGAATTACACAACTCCTTGAATGAAGTAACCCTTCACCTTCAGATATTCCTTCCAGATTATCACTGCAGAGGGAAAAGCGCAAGGTTTTATCAGGTTTACCGTGGAGTTTGTTTTCATCGACAGGGACATCTCCTTGTCCTCCATCCGAAAGTTGCATGTTTAGGACCTAAAAATTAAAATGCCATTGGTTTGTCACACCTGAAAAAAAACCAAACTACAGCAAATACATATTTAAGTTCTTTTTAATCTTAAATTATCATTTTTATCTATAAACCAATCTATAAGGTTCTAATCAAACTTTTAAGTACCCCTAGAAGAAAAGTGTAAGTATCAGTGAGAAGAACTGAACCTATGCCCTTCCATCGCCCTACAGGTACCAGAGCGTGAACGGGCAACCGGACAGCAAATCAGCAGTGGTCAGGATTTTAAGAATCAGAAGGCTGTGGTGCAGCAGGCCAGTCCTTCTGCTTCTGCCATGTGCCAACTATGTTATCTTGGATAAGTTATTTAAACTGCCTAAACCTCCATTCTTTCATCTATAAAATGCTGATAGCAGTGTGTATGCCATTGAGTTATTGAGGGTAAATAAAAGATGCACATAAAGCCCTGGCTAGGTGGCTCAGTTGGTTAGATCATCGTCCTGAAATGCCAAGTGTGTGGGTTCGATCCCTGGTCAGGGCACATACAAGAAATCAACCAAATGCCCTGGCCTGTTTGGCTCAGCAGTTAGAGCATCAGTTATGGACCAGTGAGTCGTGGGTTCGATTCTGGTCAAGGGCATGTACCTCGGTTGCAGTTTGTTCTTGGCCCTGGTCGGGTTGTGCAGGAGGCACCCAGTCGATGTGTCTCTCTCACAACGATGTTCCTCTCTCCCTCTCCCCCTCCCTCCCTCCCTCCCTCCCTCCCTCCCTCCCTCTCTATCTGATGATAAATAGAAAAAAAAAAAAAAAATCCTCAGGTGAAGATTAAAAATAAAAAAATCAATAAAGAAAAAAAATTAACAACTACTATGAACAATTATATGGCAACAAATTCGACAATCTAAGCAAAATGGACAAATTTCTAGAAACACACAGTCTCCCAAAACTGGACCAGGAACAGATAGAAAACATGAACAGACCAATTACAACTAAGGAAATTGAAGAGGGAATCAAGACTCTCCCAGCAAACAAAAGCCCAGGCCCAGATGGCTTCACGAGGGAGTTTTACCGAAAATTCAAAAATGAACTAACACCCATTCTCCTCAAACTATTTCAAAAAATTCAAGAAGAAGGAAGACTTCCAAACTCATTTTATGAGGCCAGCATAATTCTAATTCCAAAACCAGAAAAAGACACTACAAAGAAAAAAAACTACAGGCCAATATCCCTGATGAACATAGACACCAAAATCCTGAACAAAATACTAGCAAATTGAATCCAGTGATATATCAAAAAAATTATTCACCATGACCAAGTAGAATTCATCCCAGGGATACAAGGCTGGTATAATATTCGCAAATCAATAAATGTAATACACCACATAAACAAAATGAAGAATAAAAACCAAACGATCATATCAATAGATGCTGAGAAAGCATTCGACAAAATCCAGCACCCATTTCTGATAAAAACGCTCAGCAATGTGGGAATAGAGGGATCATATCTCGACATAATAAAGGCCATATATGAAAGACCTACAGCCAACATCATCCTCAATGGGCAGAAACTAAAAGCATTTCCCTTAAGAACAGGAACAAGACAGGGATGTCCACTTTTGCCACTCTTATTTAACATAGAAATAAAAGGGATCCAAATTGGAAAGGAGGAAGTGACACTATCATTATTTGCAGATGACACGATATTATACATAGAAAACCCTAAAGAATCCATCAAAAATCTACTAGACTTAATAAATGGATTTGGTAAAGTAGTAGGATACAAAATTAATGTCAAGAAATCAACAGCATTCTTATATACCAACGATGAACTCTCAGAAAGAGAAACTAAAAAAATCCCATTTACCATCGCGGCAAAAAAATTAAGATACCTAGGAATAAATTTAACCAAAGAAGTAAAAGACCTATTTGCAGAAAACTACAGGATATTGAAAAAAGAAATAGAGGAAGATATAAAAAAAAGTGGAAGCACATACCTTGTTCATGGATTGGAAGAATTAACAGCATTAAAATGTTCATATTACCCAAAGCAATCTATAGATTCAATGCAATCCCCATCAAAATACCAACGACATATTTCAGAGAACTAGAACAAATACTTCAAAAGTTCATATGGAACCAAAAAAGACCCTGAATAGCCACAGCAATCTTGAAAAAGGACAAAGTAGGTGGGATCACAATACCAGATATCAGGTTATACTACAAAGCGACTGTAATCAAAACAGCCTGGTACTGGCACAAGAACAGGCACATAGGCCAGTGAAACAGAACAAGAACAGAGAACCCAGAAATGGACCCAAGACATTATGCTCAATTAATATTTGACAAAGTTGGCAAGAGCATACAATGGAGTAAAGACAGCCTCTTTAATGAATGGTGTTGGGAAAATTGGACAGCTACATGCAAAGAAATGAAACTAGACCATCAACTTACACCATACACAAAAATAAACTCAAAATGGATAAAAGACTTAAATGTGACCCATGAATCCATAAAAATCCTAGAAGAAAATGTAGGCAACAAAATTTCAGACATCATACGCAGCAGAATTTTCATTGATACATCACCTAAGGCAACAGAAACAAAGGAAAAAATGAACACATGGGACTACATCAAACTAAAAAGCTGCACAGCAAAAGATACAACCATCAAAATGGAAAGGCAACCCACTGTATGGGAGAGCATCATTGCCAATGATACATCAGATAAGGGGTTATTTCCAAAATATATAGAGTACTCATACAACTCAACAAAAGGAAGACAAAAAACCCATTTAAAAAGTGGGCAGAGGACCTGAATAGACACCTCTCCAAACAGGACATACAAATGGCCAAGAGTCTTATGAAGAAATGCTCAACATCACTAATCATCAGAGAGATGCAAATTAAAACAACAATGAGGTATCACCTCACACCGTTCAGAATGGCTGCCATCAACAAATCATCAAATAAGTGTTGGCGAGGGTGTGGAGAAAAGGGAACTCTAGTACACTGTTGGTGGGAATGCAGACTGGTACAGCCACTATGGAAAACACTATGGTGTTACCTCAAAAAATTAAAAATTGAATTGCCAGTGATCCCACTTCTAGGAATATACCCTAAGAAGCCTGAAACACCAATCAGAAAGAATATATGTACCCCCATGTTCATAGCAGCACTATTTACAATAGCTAAGATCTGGAAACAGCCCAAGTGTCCATCAGTAGGTGAATAGATAAAAAAGCTGTGGTACAGCCCTGGCTGGTTTGGCTCAGTGGTTAGAGCATCAGCCTGCGGTCCCGAGAGACCCAGGTTTGGTTCCCGCTAAGGGTATGTACCTTGGTTGCAGTTTGTCCCAGGCCCTGGTTGGTCGTGCGGGTGGCAGCCACTCGATGTGTTCCTTTCACATCGATGTTTCTCTCTCTCTCTCTTCCTCTCTCTCCCTCCCACTCTACCTGAACAAAAAATGTCCTCGGGTGAGGATAAAAAAAAAAGCTGTGGTACATGTACACAATGGAATACTATGCAGATGTAAGAAAAAAAGATCTCTTATCCTTTGAGACGACATGGAGAGACCTGGAAAGTATTATCCTAAGCGAAACAAGCCAAGCAGAAAAAGACAAGTATCACATGATCTCACTTATCTGTGGAATATAATGAACATAACAGTCTGAGGAATAGGGTAGACCCAGAGATATGGAAGTAAGGTTCAGACTGACAACCCTAGGAAGAGGGAGTGGTGGAGGGGGGAGGAGATAAACCACAGAACTTATATGCATGTATGCATAACCAATGGACATGGACAACAAAACTGGGGAAATGGGGGGGGGATGGGGAAGAGAGTCAATGGGGTAAAAAAGGAGAAATATCTGTACCAAAAATAAAATAAAAAAAAAAAAAGAATCAACTAATGAATGCATAAATAAGTGGAACAACAAAGTTAACAAGAAAAAAAAACATATAAACAAATAGATACCCGAGTTTATAATTATTATTATTTTAATCCTCATACAAGGACATTTTTCCATTTTTGTTCAGATAGAGTGGGAAGGAGGGAGAGGAAGAGAGAGAGAAACATCGGTGTGAGAGGGATACATCAACTGGTTGCCTCCCACGTGACCCCAACCAAGGCCAGGGACAAGCCGCAACCAAGGTACGTGCCCTTGGCTGGAATTGAACCTGTGACTCATCAGTCAGGAGGCCGACGTTCTAACCACTGAGCCAAACTGGCCAGGGCGAGACACCAGAATTTAATCGACTAGACTAGTTTGAACCCCCATTCAATCACTATACACATGGCCACAAAAGTCCATACCAGAAGCTGGTATGTGACTTCACAGCCACCTGTAGCTTAGAGCTGATGGCCTTTTTATAACATTTTCTATTTGTCAGAGGATTTCCAAATGACATAATTACTTGTCACTCCCCATAAACCTCATAACTCAGCTTTGTATGTGTACCTCCAACTCAATGAAGAACTGAATGCTTCGTTGGAAGTTAAACAGCAGGTTTTAGACACACCTGAAACTTGAACTCAAAGCCATTGGGTTCCTAGGTTGCTGCTGGAATATGAAGGAAGAATAGTATCCTTACTTAATAAGAAAAAAACACACACCAAAAAAACACAAAAACCTCTAGGTGCTGTTTTGGCCCTGCACTTATATGAGTAAATTACAGGTTTTTAAATGGCTCTATATATTTACTCATGTAATGGTATTAAAAAGTTACTTAAGCCCTGGCGGGTTTGGCTCAGCAGTTAGAGTATCAGCCTGAGGACCAAAGGGTCACAGGTTCGATTTCCAGTCAAGGGCACTGCAGGTTTCCCCAGCCCCAGTCGGGGTCATGCAGGAGGCAAAAAATCACTGTGTCTCTTTCACATCAACGTTTCTCTTTCTCTCTCTCCCTCCCTTCCTCCCTCCCTTTCCCTTTCTTCCAGTCTATCTAAAAAATCAATGGAAAAAATATCCTCAGGTGAGAATTAACAACAACAAAAAAGCTATCTAAACCCTGGCCAGTTTGGCTCAGAGGTTAGAGCATCAGCCTACGGACTGAAAGGTTGTAGGTTCGAATTCTCAGTCAAGGGCACATACCTGGGTTGCAGGTGTGATCCCCAGCCCTGGTCAGGGTCATGCGGGAGGCAACCAATCGATGTGTCCCTCACATCAATGTTTCTCTGTTTCTTTCTCTCCCTCCCTCTCCCTTCCACTTTATTTAAAGAAAAATCAATGGAAAAATAGGCTCAGTTAAGGATTAATAAAAACGTTACTTAAAAGTAGATATTTTCCTATTTGCTTGAAATTAAATGCAGACATAAAATTTTACACTCTGTATTTTTAAGATAACTCAGACCTTTAAACTCATAGTAAGTGATGTGCAATGAATCTTCAGGCAACCATCAACTTAAAGGCATACAGAGTGGTACAAATTAATGAAAACAAAGGTATCACACCACAATGAAGACATTTCCCTGCACTGGAATACAGACCGCAGTCTTCAAGGCTGCCACTGAACTGGGGGTTGGGGACAGGTAACATGGTAAGGTAAATGCCACAGAGCTCACTGACTGACAATCAACTGTTTTTTCCCTCATTAAGTATTGCCCTGGTTCTTACTGAGTTTTTTATTCCATTCCAGGGTCCCTAAAAAGTTCATTCTGACAGTTTCTGCCAGCTCATTCATTTTTGTGTGTGTAGAGGGACAGAGTTTGAGAGTTTGACAGTCCTCTTTCCTATGAATGATGTCACACAGTTCCAAACACAGCCAATGACCATCATCACTTTATCAACCCTGTAACTGGTCCCTTATTCCCAGGCCAGGACTAGGTTTTCTTAAATAGTAAGCAATCGCTGTTGAATGTAAGATGCTGCTTCTTTTACAGGAGGTCACAATGTATGAGGAGGGCTCTTACCTTAAACAGTCAAGATTTCTTCTTTCCTTTTGCCCTGTCCCAAGCTCTTGTTTATAAACATCTTAAAAATGATTCCCATAGCCCTGATCCCATTTCTTCAAAATATTTTATATTTTTAGTTTTCACAGTTATCTCTTCCATTTCTTCCTAACTGGCCAAAGAAAAGAAAGAATTTCTAAAGAATGTTTGGTCATTAAAGCAGAAATACCACTGGGTATATCAGAAAGAAAAGAAACATAAAACACTCCCTGCAAATGACTGGGAAAGTCTCTTCGATTTCCATACCACAACCTCCTGGCTTCCTGTCTCGTCTACTATAAGGAGAATTCCTTTTGGTGTGGTCCTGGTCACCAAATACAGCACCATAGATGTACCAATGTGTAGGGCACAGGAAGTTTAGCATTTGATGGTGTGTCATGGTAGTTCCACTGACAACAATGAAAATTTTCATTTAATGCATACTAATTTATAGAAGCAAGTAACCATTAATTAGAAGACCAGAATCTAAATTTCTAAACAGTGGTGGCTATAAGTTAAATGTAACAATACATTTATACCTCATTTTCTGACATCATCCCTGGAGTAAGCTGGGGGCCTGTCCCTAAGGAAATAACCAACACTTCTTCTGGCTGCACCTCCTGGATGGTTTCTTGAGATGATCCTTCATGGTCCATATGTAAGTCCATTAGCACATTGGTGCGACTTCTGCTCCGAGTTGCTAATAACAAAATTTAAATAAGACAATTTAGAGAAAAAGATAAAATAAAGAAAATGGCACACTAAATACAAAAACATATTTTCTATTAATGTAGAACATTTGCGCATGCACAAAAAGAAAGAATGGTGAGAATATGAGTATGAAAAAAAAAACACCTGTATCTTCCCAGTTACTCTACTGATGACTAATACAGATACTCCTTCAAAACTAAGAATCAGAAACAATGATCCATGTTCACTTGACAGGGAGTGACACACAGATGACCATACCTGCAGAACAGCAAATATGCCCTAATCAATTTAAGACTTAGGATGACAGGAAAAGCACTACCTTATCTCTTATCTGTTCAAGATACCTTCAACTATCTCTCCTACAAAATGATTTAACTGCCACAGGTCTCCCATACTAATAACTCAAAAGCATTATAAAATTTCATGTAGAATCTGATAGCCATATAAAATAATATACATTAATTAGGCAACTGTTGACAAAACCAGAATCAGTTTTTGAAAACATTGTTTTTCCTGAAACGTATTACCTCTTTCCAAAGACAGAGGGAAGATTTCCCTGTTTGAGTGTAAGTTTCCTTTCTGCTTAATAGAAACATTCTAAATTAATTAATACAGAATCTAATTATTTGAGGGTGTTTTTTCCCTACCTAATACTTTTTTCTAAAATAATCCATCCTACAGACCTTAGAAAAACTTCTGAAAGATTTAGATAGTTGGTAATAATTTCTCTATGAGCTTTAGCCTTCTGTGATAAGTTTCAATTTTCTTTCAGAGGTCAATAAAATTCAGTAAAGCCAGAATACTAACTAGCAATTCTATTTCGGTAAAAAAATAATCAAAAGTACAAACATAAAGCAAAACATTTTGACTGAAGCTGACCTACTTAAAAACAGAAATATCAACAGTCCTCTTCTGCCCAGCCGTGTGGCTCAGTGGTTGAGCATCGACCCGTGCACCAAGAGGTCGCCAGTTCGATTCCTGGTCAGGGCACATGCCCAGGTTGTGGGCCCGATCCCTAGTGGGGGGCAGGCAGGAGGAGGCTAATTGATGTTCTCTCTCATTGATTGATGTTTCTGTCTTTCCCTTTCCCTCTCTCTAAAATCAATAAAGAAAAAAAACTAAAACACAGTCCTCTTCTCTCCACAATGCCATAGATCTGCTCATTAGTCACTCTTACTGTCAAAATTCAGGGTACCCATCAACCTTCAAAAGTCAGGTTCATCTCACTATCTTCTACTGAATTGTGAACTTAAATTCAGCTATATGAACTACATGAATCTTAAGCAACAGAGTTCATAATTTATAAAATGCAAGTAATCAAAATTCATGTAACAATTTACATAAAGCAAAAGCAACATGCACATGGAGCACACTTTTATGAACTAGTTCTTAAATAAAAGTTGTACAAGAATAGGAAGAACAGCCTATTACCCACCAAATGGGGTTACTAGAGTAATATGAGCTGTAAGATTGGTGGCTGAGGAATCCCAGGCAGTGATGGCTGCTAACTGTTGTCCTGGGTTGCGAAAGCATTAAACAGAAAGAAAATCAACCCTCTGAATAATGGACAAATTTTTTAAAATATGAAATAAATTCAATGACCAGGTCACATGACTACACAATAATACTACTAGGGAAACATTTGAAATTTACTTTCAATTATACCAGTATTTAATGATACTTCTGGATGAAATGAAGTGGAAGGACTAATGTATATCAGTGAATATAAAGAAAAAAATCTCTAATTTACAAAAAAATCATTTATTTCTTCATGTTAAAAGAGTGCAAATAGGTCCTGGCCGGTTTGGCTCAGCGGTTGGAGCATCCACCTGCGGTCCGGAGAGACCCGGGTTCGGTTCCCGCTAAGGGCACGTACCTCGGTTGCAGTTTGTCCCCGGCCCTGGTTGGTCGTGCGGGTGGCAACCACTCGATGTGTCCCTTTCACATCGATGTTTCCCTCTCTCTCTCTGTTCCTCTCTCTCCCTCCCACTCTATCTGTACAAAAAATGGAAAAATGTCCTCGGGTGAGGATAAAAAAAAAAAAAAACAGGAAAAAAAAAAAAGAGTGCAAATAGCCTATAATAAAATCATTGACTGGCCAGTGTGGCTCAGTGGATTGAGCATCATCCCATGAACTGAGAGGTCCTGGTTCAATTTCTGGTCAGGGCACATGCCTGGGTTGTGGGCTGGATCCCCAGTGGGGGGCATGCAGGAGGCAGCCGATCAATGTTTCTCTCTCACATCAATGTTTCTCTCCTTTCATCTCTAAAAAAAAAAAAAAAAATCAATAAAAACATATAAAAAATTTTTTTTAAATCATTGAGCCCTGGCCAGGCCAGGTAGCTCAGTTGGTACAGCCTCATCCTAATTGACGGACCGAGGTTGTAGGCTCGATCCCAGTCAGGGCACATATAGGAAGCAACCAATGAATGCATAAGTAAGTGGAACAACAAATTGATGTCTCTCTCTCCCCCCTCTTCCTCTCTCTCTCTAAAATCAATAAATAGAAATAATTTCTTAAAAAACGACCCTGGCTGGTTTGGCTCAGTGGTTACAGCATCGGCCTACAGACCAGAGAGACCCAGGTTCGGTTCCTACTAAGGGCATGTACCTCAGTTGCAGTTTGTCCCCGACCCCAGTTGGGGTTATGTGGATGGCAACCAGTTGATGTGTCTCTCTCACATCGATGTTTCTCTCTCTCTCTTCCTCCCTCTCTCCCTCCAGCTCTATCTGAAGATAAATGCAAAAATGTCCTTGGTGAGGATAAAAAAAACACACACAAAAATATACACACAAACGGTATCTTAAAAAAAAAAAAATCACTGAGTGTCAAATGTTATTTTTTCTATTTCTAATTCTGAAATTTACATTTTGGGATGATGAAAGTCAAAGACTTGAAGAATATGGTGCTTTCCTATTGATATAATTCCATGTTATGTTACATGTAAGGTAGGTTAATTTTAAGAAACTCATAATTCTTAACACATCAGTTCATGGAAGTTTAAATATGAAATCCCATTCTTCAAAACATGTAAAATATAGTAACTACTCATGTTCACTATCACTGAGTTCTTCATCGTCATTAAAGAACTGGCACTAAACTACTCTGATCCCTTGGCTAAAAACTCTTTCCTTGTCTTGTTTACTTTGAGTAACTCCCTTTCATCCTTCAAGAGAAAGTGCAGGCTTCATTTGTTCCAGGGTCACCTTCTCAAGGTATCCTGGTAATTCTCTGTGCTTATCTCCACCAATTAATTATGAAAGGCTGTGAGTCAAATCCCCAGTGGGGGGGCATGCAGGAGGTGGCCATTCGATGTTCTTTCATCGCCCCCCCCCCACTTCTCCCTTCCTCTCTCTCTCAAATCAATAAAGAAAACAATTTTTAAAAAAGAATGATGGCCCTGGCCAGTTTGCTCAGCGGTTAGAGCGTCGGCCTGCGGTCCAGAGAGACCTGGGTTTGGTTCTCGCTAAGGGCATATACCTGGGTTGGTTTGTCCCCGGCCCTGGTTGGGTCGTGCGGGTGGCAACCACTCGATGTGTCCCTTTCACGTCGATGTTTCTCTCTCTCTCTCTCTTCCTCTCTCTCCCTCCCACTCTACCTGAACAAAAAATGGAAAAATATCCTTGAGTGACGATAAAAAAAAAAAAAAAGAATGATGTATTAAAAAGGGGGGGGGATTATTAATAGCAATGAAAAAATAGTACCTATTACCTATGTAATTTCAACTTCACTGACAGGAATTTCCAATATTATTTTATTATATTATTCAGAACTTTGTGGAAAGGACAGAGCTACATAATTCAAATAATGACTACTTATAACAAATGACACTTCCAAATTTTCTAAGAAAAGACACTAAAATACAAACTATACCATATATGGCATGATTTCAATTAATTATGAAAAGTGTATCTAGATAAAGTGAAAGCCTACTGCTAAACCTAATTAACCTAGTGCAATTGTAAAAACCTGAATTACTCTTAGTAAATATGGAGAAGATATTTCCAAAATATTTAAAACTGTATTTCAAAACACTGAGCAAGAAAAAGGCTTAAAAAGAAATATTAGACTTAAAGCAAAGCATCAATATGAGAATGTCTCTTTACCTATAGGCAATCGATTCTTTTTATTTGCTGGAGTGGTTGCTGGAGAGAGCTGAGGAGTATTGTAGGGAGTCATTTCCAAACTGCTGCTTTTCCCTGGCTTTGCCTGGGGTAGATTTGCCAATAAATTGTCAAGAGCCATTCTATCTTCTCTCAGTTGGTCTCCAGACATCACACTCTTCATAAAATTCACCTTGCAAAAATAAAACACAATATATATTTCTCACACAATGTACTCATCTATGATTCTGCCCAAGCTTAGATAAGTGACTTCTGACAAAATCCTATTAAATAAAGCCATTACCAGAGTAATAAGCTGACTGTAGGTTATATAAACCACAGTTCTGCTCAACCCTTCCAGAAGATTAACAGAGGACATTGGAGGAGTCTCCACTGCACGGCCCCCAATCACAACATCAAGGAAAGCAGCAACACAGCTCTGTTAAAACAGGAAAAGATCAGTGAAATACCTCCCCTTTAAAATAAGGGAACAAAATTTCTGATTAAGGTGGACAAGCATGCAAAAAGTTTTCTTCTTAAAAATTATATTAAACCTAACATTTAAAAAAATTAAATTCTCTATGAATTGATATAGAATAATCTCCAAAATACTATGGTACATGAAACAAACATGATACAGAACAGTGCACACTATCCTACCATTTGTGAAAAGGGAGGAATGAGTGATTGGGAAAATATATGTAGGAATTTTCTTGTATACATATAGACCTCTTAAAGCATACACAAAAGGTATAATAATATCAAGAAACTTTTGGGGAGGAAATAAAGGCTAGAGATCAGAAGTGGAAGGGAAATTTCACTGTATAACTTTTGAGTTTTAAAATAGGTTGAATGTAGCCTACTCAAATATGATTAATTAAAATTTTATTTAAATTAATAGAACAATGACATAAATACTAACTTATGAAATACACTTAAAATTATACAGTTATTACTGATTTGAATTAGTGACAATTTTAAAAAATTAAACTTCTTAGATAAAATAATCTTAATAGCTCTTTGGTTCTCATTATAGTGTCATCTCCTTAACACTTCTATAAATGGGAATTAGTCATCTTTAGTGACATTTTCCTTTAAATGCTGCTGATCCAACATTATATGCACTACAGCTATACCAAGAGTCATTGAAAAAATATTTAATTTATACATCACCTAAGGACAAGATTTAAGAAAGGGAATAGTTAGGTTTGCTAATACTTCGGCAGAATTTTCTACAAACAGTATTTCACGTGTATTTCACAGTATTCATTCTTACTTTGTCAAATTTTCCAAGGCTGCTCTTTGTCCGGGGATCTCCCTCTTCAGAGCCAGTCATTGCTAACTGCTGCAAAAGGCGGCCAACCTGCAACCCAAAGCAGTGGTAAGGAGACACAGGCTATAGACACAAAGTCCTCTCTATGAAAGCACTTCCATTCTATTCTAAAAATCTGTTTCATAATAATATTCACACCACCTGACCACACATACAAAATAGGGTCCCATATGTGTATCTTATCAACATAATGTTCTTACTATATTTAGTTTATAGAATAAGTAGAAATTTTTCTTTAATTTCTCTTTAACATACTACAACATTAGGAGAAAATATACCACCTTTGTTTCTGATATTATATTTTACGTGTGCTCAGAAAATTTTAAATTAATGCAGTTTGGAAAGTAAACATTACTTCACAGGGCAAAGTCTCTATGCCAAAAGTAACTGTTAATCCCCTCTTTTTAATGACACTTTGCTGAAAGTTAATATCATACAGCATCATCTCTTTTTTTTTTCTTTATTGATTATTTAGACAGAGAGAGGAAGGGAGAGGGAGAGAGAGATGGAAACATCGGTTGGCCGCCTCCTGCATGCCCCCCACTGGGGATCAGGCCCTCAACCTGGGCATGTGCCCTGACCAGGAATTGAACCAGTGACCTCTTGGTGCATGGATCGACACTCAACCACTAAGCCATACTGGCTGGGCGCATCTTCTTACTATCTGGGATAATCCTCCCCCTTATTACTTATTTTGAAAATATGTGATTCAATCTCTGTTAGAATGACAAAAATAAAAACTACTATTTTATCATCACAAGAATAAATTTAGTATTTCACAGAGACTAAAAGTTTTAAATTTTATTTCATGGATTTCTATATAGTTAATTGCTCAATACCCCAATATGACAGAACTGATAATGAAAAAAACATCATTTTTTTTAAAAACCTCATCCAAGGATATGCCCAACTGGCTGGTGTGACTCAGTTGTTGAGCGTTGACCCATGTACCAAGAGGTCCCCAATTCAATTCCTGGTCAGGGCACATGCCCGGTTGTAAGCCAAATCCCCAGTGGGGGGAGTGCAGGAGGCAGTCAATCAATGTTCTGTCTCATCGATATTTCTATCTCTCTCCCTCTCTCTTTCTCTATAAAATCAATTAAAAAATCAATAAATTTTAAAAATTCATCCAAAGATAGATTCTATTCCAAATAAACTCAATCTCTCTTCTTCACAGTATTTCTGTGTGATAAGATATGATTAAAAGGCTCTGGCTGGTTTGGCTCAGCGGTTAGAGCATCCACTCATGAACCAACAGGTCACAGGTTCCATTCCTGGTCAAGGGCACATACCTGGGTTGCAGGTTTGATCTCTGGCCCTGGTTTGGGTCATGTGGGAGGTAACCAGTTGATATGTTTCTCTCACATTGATGTTTCTCTCTCTCTCTCTACCCCTCTCCTTAACCTCAGGAGAGAATTTAAAAAATTAAATAAAAAAAAAAAGATATAATTAAAAGATTTTCTTAAGAAATAATAACATGGCCCAGCTGGTGTGGCTCAGTGGATTGAGCATCATCCCATGGACTAAGAGATCCCAATTTGATTCCCAGTCAGGGCATATGCTCAAGTTTGCGAACTCAATCCCCAGTAGGGGGCATGCAAGAGGTGGCCAATAGATGTTTGTCTCTCATATCGATGTTTCTCTCTCTCCCTTCCTCTCTCTCTAAAAAAATCAATAAAAACATTAAAAATAATAATTTTTTAAAAAGAAATAATAACATGATTTCAGTACTTCAGATAATTAGGAGAAAAGGGTGCTAAGATATGTACAAAAATTCTGAGTCTCATATTTCAAAATTTGAAGATTTTAGAAACGTTAATTAGTACATATATGTAAATGTCCAGTATTTAGGATAGCATCCTATAATCAAACACGTTAACATGTCTGCAGCAAAACATGAGTATCCATTAGCACTAAATGAAATAATGAACAATTATAAATAGCCTCATGCTAGTTCATGCTAGGTTTTGCTACCAAATGAAGTATAAAAGACTCAGTTTTCAAATTATGGGAAGGGGATGGTGGGCTTGTTCTTCAAAACCTAATCAACTACACATTCATGTGTGAGAGGACTCCATTTAGAAACTAACACAAAATGTTTTACAAAAACAATATTTTTAAATCCCAATATGACTGCTTTTATGTCTTAAGAAGTAAATATTTAGGACAATCTAAGGAAAAAGAATGGTAAGGCCCTGACTGATGTGGCTCAGTTGATTGGACGTCATCCTACACACCATAAGGTCTCGAGTTCAATTCTGGTCAGGGTACATGCCCAGGTTGCTGGCTCGATCCCCAGTAGGGGTGTGCAGGAGGAGGCCAATCAATGTGTTGCTCTCTCGTCAATGTTTCTCTCTCTCCTCCTCTCCCTTCCTCTCTCTAAAAAATCAATAAAAATATTTTTAAAAAAAGAATGGTAGGGCCCTGGCCGGTTTGGCTCAGCGGTAGAGCACCGGCCTGCAGACCAACGAGACCTAGGTTCAATTCCAGCCAAGGGCGTGCACCTCGGTGGCAGTTCGTCCCTGGCCCAAGTCAGGGTTGTGCAGGAGGCAACCAGTCGATGTGTCCCTCTCACATCGATGTTTCTCTCTCTCTCCCTTTCTTTCCCTCTCTCCGTCTTAGTCTATCTGAAGAGTAACAGAAAAATATCCTCGGGTGAAAATTAAAAAATAAATAAATAAGAATAGTAGGAATCAATGAATATTATCATCATATTTTCTGTTCCCACCCCCACTGCCCTAATCAATTGGTTTTAAACTGAATGCCACATTACTAATAGCAAAAGCATACCTGCATCAGATTGAATCTTGCCACTTCATTAATAGGAGCATCAGAAATGATTCCATACTGTTCTGGGTTGACAACTGCAGGACAAATGAAGCAGGCCAATAGGAGATCAGTACACATTGCCCTGACCTCCCCAACTTCCAGTCTGTCTACACAGGAGAGGGTTTTGTACATCTGCGACACGATCCACCTCAAACTATGTGGAAAGCAGTATGTGTTCTGTTTGAGATAACCAATAAATTTGTTCACCAAAGCCACTAGTTTGGCCTCATTGGAATCCACCATTTCTTGAACCTTTTGCTTGAATCTATCTGAGCCTTTCTCTCCAAAGAGTTTTTCTTGTTGAGATGGGGAGAACCTCTCAATTAGTTTATTTGGATCTGTTTCCAGATGATCTTCATCTTCCACAAGCAGTTGCATGATTGGCTCATGTAAAGTAGCTGTGAGGAAAAGTTTGGCAGAAAACAGTCCTTCAGAAAAAAGTTTAAATAAGATGCTGAAGGCACAAGTTCCTCTCCTCAAAAGTCGCCGGGGGTTGTCACTTTCTTTAAGTTCAAATTCAATCAAGTATCTCAAAACCTGAAGGAGGTAGCTTTCATCTTCTTGCATAATGCAGTTGCCATAGAGGGAGGTAAAAACTGTGTAAATAACACTTTGTGTGTTCTCCTGATTAAGTTTCTCTCCAGCAACCAGAGAGGAGGCAATAAGACGAGGATTTTCCCTTAATCGACTCAAGAATTCTCCATAAGCAGTCTCCTGAAATCCCAATTGCTTATATCCATCAACAAACTGTGTATCTTCCAAAATCTTGGCATGTTGGCAACATTCAGCAGGGGAAGCTTCAGCACTAAAAAACAAGCAAACAAGCAAAATAATAAAGTTAACAACAATAATAATATAATACATATACTATATGTGACGTGAAATGTGAGTTGATTACAGTCCCAGCAATGACATCACTCTGAATTGCTAAGATCTTTCAGATTATTAGCCATTGAAAGTGAAAAGACAGAAAGAATGAATGAACAAACAAACACAAATTTCTCATATTAAATCAGATTCAATAAAAAGTACCAAGAAGCCCTGACCGGTTTGGCTCAGCAGTTAGAGCATCAGCCTGCGGTCCAGAGAGACCCGGATTCGGTTCCCGCTAAGGGGCTGTACCTTGGTTGCAGTTTGTTGCCAGCCCTGGTTGGGTCATGTGGGTGGCAGCCACTCAATGTGTTCCTTTCACATCGATGTTTCTCTCTCTCTCCCTCCCTCCCATTCTATCTGAACAAAATATCAAAAAATGTCCTCGGGTGAGGATAAAAAAAAAAAAAAAAAACATTAATGCTTAAGTTATAATTCTCTATAATAGTGCTTAAGTGATTTAATAAAAAAAATAAGCAAAGACTCATCTTAATGTTGATTTTAACTCTTAAACCAAGCTCTTTGTTGGAAATAGATTCATTTATTTACAGTTAGCAGTTAGCACAGAACCATAGTGGTTTATAAAATTTAAGACCTCCAAGTCTTTTCTTTACCTGGTTATGATAAGCCGATCCAAATTAATCCTCTGTTGTTTAGCAATCCATGCTGTACGATACAACTTTTCAGCTGTCTTAAGTACATCTGCATTGAGCCTCTGAATGAGTTGTTTCTCAGAGTTTACATATAAGCGTTCCTGCTTGAGGTGATGGGCCAGAGTATGAATATCTAACTTCACCATCTTCAAATGTGGAAAAGGTACAAAGGCTGATCACTAAGAGAAAAAAAGACAAATTTTTAATTGTTATGTTACAGAAACTGTTTTCCGAATCAAAAGAGATAGAATACATTAGCCTGGCCGGTGTGGCCCAGTGGATGGAGCACTGTCCCAGACTGAGAGGTCCTGGTTCGATTCCTGGTCAGGGCACATGCTGGGGTTGTGGGCTCGATCCCCAGTAAGGAGCGTGCAGGAGGCAGCCAATGGATGTTTCTCTCTCACATCAGTATTTCTCTCTCTCTCTCCCTTCCTTTCTCTCTAAAAAAATCAAAAAAACATATTTTAAAAAATAATAATTAAGCTATACGCCCTGCTCAGTGTGGCTCAGTTGGTTGGGCGTCATCCCATGCACTGAAAGGTTTCAGGTTTGATTCCTAGGGCACGTGTCCCAGTAGCAGGCTCAATCCCCAGTAGGGGAGGCAGCTGATCAATGTTCCACTCTCACATTGATGTCTCTCTCTTTCTCTCTCCCCCACCTCGCTCTCTTCATCTCTCTCTAAAAATCAATTTAAAAATCTTAAAAAGAAAAGAGCCCAGCCGGTGTGACTCAGTGGTTGAACATCAATGCATGCACCAAGAGGTCTCTGGTTCGATTCCCTGTCAGGGCACATTCCCATGTTGTGGGTTGGCAAATCTCCAGTGAAGGGCATGCAGGAGGCAGCCAGTCAATGTTCTCTCTCATCAATGTTTCTCTCTCTCTCTTCCTCTCACTCTCTCTATCTCTAAAATCAATAAAGAAAAAAAAAAAGCTACATTTAGTAGCATGGTTAACTCTAATTTTAAAGTAATCTCTATATTTATTTTATTACAGAAGCATTGTGGGTTCAGTATAGAAAAACTGGTAAATACAGATAAGCAAAAAGAAAAGCTCCTAACAAGGCCACTGCTCAGAGATAGCCAATGCAAAAACCTTGTGCGTGTCCTTCAAGCCCAGTGTCTACTTACTAACACTGCAGTTTTCTTGACTGCTCTTTCACACGGCAGTCACTCACCATGTTCTGTTGACTCTGTCTTCAAACTACATCTCAAATATAACTACTACTCTGAAGCTCTATAATCACCACTTCCTAACTGATCTCCCAGCTTCCTTTCTTAACAAAATGTGTTTGCTCCATAGCATAGAGTATCTTTTAAACTTCAGTCAGATCACTCTGTTCCCCTACTGGAAATCCTCCAAAGCCTCAGCATTTGCTGATCCCTTTGTCTGGAAGGCTATCCTTCCAGATATCTTCGCAAGGTTACTTCATGCAGGCCTTTACTTCGTGCAGGCCTCTCTGTTCAAATGTCTATTTAAAAAAGCCTTCTCACCCAGCTGGTGTGGCTAAGTGGTTGAGAGTTGACCCATACACCAAGAAGTCACCAGTTCAATTCCCGGCAGGGCACATGCCCAGGTTGTGGGCCCAATCCCCATTAGGAGGCATGCAGGAGGCAGCCAATCAATGTTATCTTGCATCAATGTTTCTCTCTCTCTCTCTCTCCCTTCCTCTCTTTCTAAACTCAGTAAAGAAAAAAAAACACAAGTTTTTTTTAAAAAGCCTTCTCAGCCCTGGCCAGTGTTACTCCGTGGTTAAGAGCATCAGCCCGCCCACCTAAGGGTCTCAGATCACATGGATGTTTTTCTCTTTCTCTTCCTCCCCATCCCCTGTCCCTCCTTTCCACCCTCTCTTAAAAAAATCAATGGAAACAAAGCAAACAAACAAACAAAAAGGCCTTCTCAGATAACTCTTTCTAAAATAGAAAATATCCCTTCCTATTCCTTCTTCTGGCTTTTTTTTTAAAGCAGTTGCCCCTATCTAGAATTATATTACAGATACCTACGTGCATGCTCATCATGCTTAGAGTATGACTCCCCTACTAAAAAGTAACGGCCACCAGAGCCAAGGCTTGTTCGTTTTGTTCATTCACAGCTGTAATCTCAGGGCTGAGGGGAAGGCAGGAGTTGAATAAATATTTGCCAAAGGAATGAATGATGTCACACTATTCTTGTTTACCTAGTAGCTAAATGAACTGATTAAAATAGCACACATATTTTAAAGCATTATTATTTAAGCTATGCCCTTAAACCTACAATGCCTGCCAGACCACAAATGTTTTTATCAATAATGGAAGTGCCTGTGGCCCAGAGAGCAGAATACAACATTGTGTCCAGATAGCAGGCAGTCATTAAGTTAGAAAAATATTTCCCATTAAGAATTAACCATTATGATCGTATACTTGAAAGTTGCTATGACAATAGGGCTTTAATATCCTCACCATAACACAACAAGATAATATGAGGTGAAGGACGTGTTGACTAAACCTTGCTGTGGTAAACATTTTACAATATATACGTGTATCAAATCATCACATTATATGCCTTAAATATATATTATATTTCAATTACATCTCAATAAAGCTGGGGGGAAAAGTGATTCCAGCCAATCAGATTCTTAAGTGCCCTTAATGGATCTATTTGGAATAGATAAAATACAATTTGTAGTGAATTTAGATTCTAAAAGAAAGGACAATCTAGACCACAGAATTCCCAATGTGTTTAGAGATCCAATGAAAATATGTTCATATATATAAAATAAATATTTTGGCGCTAAGACAAAAAAATTTAAACATTATGGCACCAGCTAAAAATTTATGTATTTATTTATTTATGATCCTCACCTGAGGACATTTTTGCATTTATCTTCAGATAGAGTGGGGGGAGGGGGGACACTGATGTAAGAGAGACACACCGAGTGGCTGCCACCCACACGACCCCAACCAGGGCCGGGGATAAACCAAGGTACATGCCCTTAGCGGGAACCAAACCCGGGACTCTCCAGTCCACAGGCCGACGCTCTAACCGCTGAGCCAAACTGGCCAGGGCACTAAAGATATATTTAAAGCTACTTTATTTTAAAAAATAGATTGAATAACTTTTAATTAAGTTTGGTTTCAGAAATCTTTATTTTAGTGAACTGCTGATGACTAGGAACATTTTAGATATTACCATCTAATCTGAATTTAACTGCTTTCAAAAATTACTTTCTTGTACCTTATCAATTCCTCAGCAAACTATGCAAAGATGTCATTCCAACTGTCCTATATAGTTAAAGCCCCACACCACTTTCCTCTCAAAAGATGTCTGTTTCACCAAGACAATTCACTATTAGTCATAAGGACATTGTGTACATTAAAAAAATTTAGTGACAAGCACATACATATACATATATATACACATATACATATACATAATCTTACTAATTCAGTATACAGAAAATGCATATGACTTTGTAACTTCCACGTGGAAACTCTAAGATCCTCTAGGGGGCTCTAAGTCCACAGACTAAGAAGAGAATCATTGAACAAATTGTTGTAATTATGAGAAATATTACAGTTAATGAAAACACTATTGAAATGGGCCCTTAAAGATCTGTATGCTTCATTCACTAGTTCATTCATTAGCTTCATACCTTGAGTACATATGTAATACATATTCTCTGAACCTCAATTTTTTTTTCATCTACACAACGTGGACACAATTATCTACATTCATTTTATGCCTGGTACAAGCGACATATCAGGTACTAGAGATACCAAAATAAGATAAAAATTAGTGTGTGCCATCAAGGACTTTTTAATCTAGTAGAATGAGACAGACATGCAAGCAAATGGCTACGCGAAAATGTTATTAAGTATGCTACTACTTATAGACTACATATGGGGAAGACAGAAGGAATGACGGAAGAATTAAATATCTACACCTAGTCTTAAAAGACAAGTTTCTGCCAGACATAAAGAGGATAGTAGGTGGGGTAGAATTCCAGACAGAGGAAGTCAAAGGCACAGGCACAGAGAATATATTTAGAGAACTACACGTAGCAAGCTAGTTTGGGGGCACATGTGTTTGTGTGTGTTAAGAGTGAAGTGGGGTAGGGGAGGAAGTGTATAATGAGAGATAAGGCTACAGACATATAAGGTACACAGAAGTTAGAGTTAAGAAACTTAGACTTAGCCCGGCCAGTGTGACTCACGGGTTGATTGTTGACCCATGCACCGAGAGGTCGCCGGTTCGATTCCCGGTCAGGGCACATGCCCAGGTTGTGGGCCCAATCCCCAATGGGGGCATGCAGGAGGCGGCCAACTGATGTTCTCTCTCATCGATATTTCTATCTCGCCCTCTCCCTTCCTCTCTTTCTAAAATCAATAACGAAAAAATATTTTAAAAGAAAGAAAGAAACTTGGACTTAGGTGATGGGAAAAGAGTTTTAAAGGGAATTGACATGATTACATTTGTATTTGAGAACATAAACTCTGGCAGTAAGGAAAAGGATGAGGAACCCTGGCTGGGTAGCTCAGATGGTTAGATCGTCATCCTGATTACACTGAAGTTGTGGGTTTGATCCCCAGTTAGGGCACATGTAAGAGTCAACCAATGAATGTATAAATAAGTGGAACAACAAATCTCCCTCTCTCTCTCTCAAAAGGAAAAGAATGAGAAGGTGGGGATGAGACTGGAGATGGAACTAGATCTAGATGAAGAGGGATTAAGAAATTGCTGATAGGCAAGAGGTGTTGCAGTAGTAATGGAAAGAACAGGACAAATTTAAGAGATGTTAGGAGGTAGAAATTATGAGATTTGTTGACACATATGGGGAAGTTTCCAATTCTGTAGACAATGGTGGGTGTGGTGTTCTCCATCACAACTGAGTATCATATGCAAAAACCCTTTATAAACTGAAATTGTGCCTGGTATGGTTCTAAGAACTTTACACACTTAATCTATATAATACCCTCTGAGATAGGTACTTGCAGATAAGAAAACTGAGGTCAGGGATATCAAATAACTTAAACAAGGACACACAGGTGAGAGGTGAGGGAGCCAGTACACTATTATTATTATTATCCTGATCTTTACAAGAACAACTCAGAAATCTTGTGGTTAAAAGGAAAATATCATATTTTTAAGAGGTGCATGCACAAGTATGGAAAAGTAAAGTGTTAGAATTCTTGCAATTGTACAT